TTTCCAGTGCCTTTTCCAGTGCCTTTTCACGGTTTGTGTGCGCCTGCCAGTGATTTTGCCATGTGACTCACTTTTTTGCTAAAAAGAGATAGCTTATCTTTTTGTTTCAACAAAACTTACCAGAAACACATTTTTGCTGGCAGGGCCACGAAAAAGTGCAAAAGGCACTGGAAAAGGCACTGGAAAGGCACTGGAAAGGGACTGGGAACAGACGCGGCACATGGCAACAGCAAGAACAGTAGCTGGAACCGCCCGGCATCACTTGAAAACAACACACGCATGTGCGCCTGTAGGTCTCCGGTCGCCGTCCACACCCAGTACCGTAGATGGACGAAATATTCAAACCCTTTCAACCACGCGGACCCCTTCTACCCCAAAGCTCAATGTTAGAGGTCTTGCAAGAATGTTTCGGCGAATGGACGAAACAAATCAAACCCTGGAAACACAATTTCAATCAAGTTATGTTCAACATTGACCTTTGGGGGTCAGGGGTTGGCGACAGTTATTGATACATGGGTTTGAATATTTGGTCCATCTACTGTAGTAACAAGGGCATTACTACTAGTAGCAAGGGCGCTATTAGGTGGAGGCCATCGCTACTAGTAACAAGAAGCTACTAGTAACAAGGGCATTACTACTAGTAGCAAGGACGCTATTAGGTGGAGGCCATCGGTACTAGTAACAAGAAGCTACTAGTAACAAGGGCATTACTACTAGTAACAATAAGCTACTAGTAACAAAAATTAGTACTAGTAGCAAGGACGCTATTAGGTGGAGGCCATCGGTACTAGTAACAAGAAGCTACTAGTAGCAAGGGCATTACTGCATTACTCATTACTACGGAGAGTGATTTTAAGGGCTTTTTAAAAGTGGGACTTATATGTATTTTTTTGTTGGCTAGGTGGCTTTGGTGCCTTTTGGTTTCTGTGGCTTTTGTGGCTTCTGGCTTTTGTGGCTTTTGGCTTCTGTGTGGCTTTTGGGTTGTGTGGCTTTTGTGGCTTTTGGCTTTTGTGTGGGGTTTGATGACTTTACTACTTTTTTCTAGTCAAAATCTCTACTTTTGATGCCTTTCCCCTGAACATCTCTACTTAACTGGAGGCCATCGCTACTAGTGATAAGAAGCTACTAGTAACAAGGGCACTACTACTAGTAGCAAGGACGCTATTAGGTGGAGGCCATCACTACGGGTTTCAAGAAGCTACTAGTAACACCTAAGCGACTGAACCATTGGTTGTGATTCTTCCTCCTCCTTTTGTCCGGGGCAAATGTTGCAAGCCAAGAGGCACATGTGTGGTCTTGTAGCAAACATGAAAAAGCATCCCTTCTTTCCGTCACAGTGCCCCTGACCGTGCCTAATGACCAGCCTTAAGAATGCCTCATGACCAGAGCAACCCTTGTGAATGCCTTTCTGCAGTTTTGAATCGGTTGTTTTGAATCGTTTCGGTCGCCATGGAGAGCAACCTTTCAGAGGCGGACAAACACTTCATCGTTTGCACCGCAGCTGTGCTCGCTGTGGGTGTGTTCTTTGCAGGACGCTGGGCGCACAATGCGGGGTCCAGGACTGCACAAAGAAGCTCGGCCAGAGGATCTCCTGCTAAAAACGCTCGTTTCTTTGCCGTGCACAGGGGAGCCGTTTTGGGGAACCTGCTCTAGGCTGTGAGCCCCCGTGCTAAATTGAATGGGCAAGCATGCCAAAGGTACTTGTTCAGGTTTAAAGACGTTTTGCTCTGCGGTATTGTTCACGTAGGATGCGAGGTTCCGGCCATGTGACGGGCCCCTGAAAACAAAGTGAGGAATGCGCAATGGTTGCTTTTGGCGAAGCCCCAAGCAAGTCGATCCGGCAGATGCAAGGTACCTTGAGAACCAAGTTTGCAAGAAGAAGGTCCTTTTTGCGCATCTGTTCTGCACCTTTGTGGCGATGCTCAACACAGGTGGTGTGGTGAGTATTTCATACTTGATGTGGTCCGGGAGCCGTGTTCACTGGATGACCACAACAACTATTTGGCTGGTGCTTATCATGACTTTGCTGGCCATTTTAACCTCCCAGCTGAAAGGAGTGATAAACACTGGCACACTGGACCTAATCTGCTTTGTGACAATGCTCTATGGTGGTATTTTGCAGTCTCCTTGGTCGCTCACAATGGAGAATGTGTATTTGATGGGCTCCCTGTTTTTCATCCTCGCGACAGTTCCAGTCTGCACCTTTACCAAGCACTTTGCTGTGGTGTTCATGGCCCAGACAGGACTTCTGGCCTTGGCTGTGGTGCGCATGGCAACAGAGGAGTCCCCACCACAAGGAGCACGCTTCAGCAGTCCTAAGGTTTTTGTTCTCATGCATGTATGCTTTCTGGCTACTGTGCCATTGCTCTTCTTCTTCGCCAACAATGCTATAAGACAAGGTGTGGAAGCCAGAATCCGTGAGAGTGACAACAAGACTCAACTGGATGCGGCCTCATCCCTTCTCGAGCTGACTTGTGACGCTGTGGTGCAGCTGGATTCCGACTTTCGGGTCATTTCCGAGTCCACTCCGCTGGCCACGATGCTCTTTCGCCGTGCCACGACGTTGAAGGGCACCAAGTTCACCGAGTTGGTGGCACCGTCGGAGAGCGTGCGCGCCGAGGAGCTGCTGAGGGATTGTGGTGGCGAGGTTCGCATGGCGAACGCCTTCCACACGCATTTGGTGGATAGCAATGCCAGTAAGTTCCGGACCGAGGTATTTCAAGTGAAGTATACAAAGTTAAATGGTCAGAAATGCCATGTTCTTGGACTCCGAGACTTTACTGATGTTGAGGCCCTGTCAGGGAGGGCCACCGACGCCATCCAGGGCGGGCCCAGCTCAGCGTCAGTCAGCAGCCCTGAGGCTGGCCTTTCACCGTCCCTTGAGAATGCAGTCAGTGAATCGTGCATGCAAGTTGGTAAGAAGAGTGCCTTTCTCCAGATCAATGTGGAAGAGAATATCCTGGTAGCAGCTTCTGCTCCATATGGTGACCTCGTTGGACTGGCCTTGGGGGAGGTCTTTCCACACCAATTCACCGTTGACATGCTTCGTCGCTTGTGTGCTGAAGCACGGGAATTCTCCCAACCCTTGGGCCAGTTGCCTGATCGAGTAGCATCCTTTGTTGAAATGCCTTTTCTCGGCGGAGAGGGGACTGGGCCCACGGTGGGAATCACCGGGATGACGAAGGTCGTCCGCACACAGTGGGGCCAGCTTCATGCTATTGTGAGCTTTCTTCCACCAGATCCAAGTGTCACAGGTTCGTGCCTCGAACCACGTTTTCGGAACAAACCATGGGCCTTAAAGGCTTCCCTTTAGGACACAGACGCTGACAACAGAATCGAACAAGCATTTTTTAATCAGTTCCTGAGGCTATCGACCATTCAGCATCGAGCACTTGGTATGTCCAATTCTGCATTTTTTGTTGCATTTATTGACCATTCTAACTGTTGTCGGCTTGGACCACAAACCTCTCTTTTTTACTGATGCCCCTGTGCCATGGCAAGATCCGGGGCACCCACACACGTTTGCGCGAAAAGTGTTTGCGAGACAAGCATGGGATGGACAGAGTTTGCGAGACGGTGCGCCGAAAGCGTTACGTTCAGCCCCCAAAATACCATGTGTGGTCTCCCATACACAGACTTGCCAGACTTGCTGAGGTTGGCCAGGCAGCATGACCGTCTGATTGGCACAATACTGGCAGAGGAGGAGGACGCATGGTCGTAGCGACCACGCGAAGGCTGTCGGACATGGTTTTGAATCCTTCTGTTTTAGGGTTTTGAAGTTCTTACGTTCGAAATCTTGAGGGGAGACCAACAACACTTGGTTCATAATTCTTGTTACGCCGGTACGCGCTACAGGTGTGGAATAAACAAAACAAAGCTTGATTTTCTGCCAGGAACAGTGGGCTGAGTGAACTGATTGCAGTGCAGTCTTCACGATTCTTGACGACTTCCAAATTGTGTACTTGTCTCAAGGCAATTGCTTTACAGGAGCTTATTACGGCTCATCGTCAGCACATCGACATGATGGTGGAGCTGATCAAGGAGCCACTGTGCCTTCAGCTTTCTCAACACACACGTAGTGCGTAATTTATGTTGTTTGAGAATGCAAAGTCCGTCAACGTCTGGTGGTTTTTGGACCGGAAAGGGGTTCGACAGATAGGGGTTCGTCCGCGCAGAGGTTCAGACCGGACATGGCAGGCTCTTCTCCGTCGCCCGGACAGGAGGAGATGGTGCATTTGAACAATGTGGATCGGCCCGGCTCCGATGTGGATGCATACGTGAATGGCTTGGATCGGATCCTCCGACTGAAGGTGTCTGGGGTGGGTTTTGCTTTTCGCATGTGTTCGGGGAGGAGAGCTCTGGGGAGGGCAATGTGGTCTAATGATTCTAATGATTAGTCTAATGCTCTTGACAGCGAAGGTGCAGAAGTCTTACTTGGAGTGTTGAAATTGGACTTTTGCTGTGATCACATGTACAGGCACATTGTGAGTGTAGACTTCTAGTTACCAACCAACCAAACACCTCACGCCAATCCATTTTGAACCGGAATAAGAACATTTGCGGTTTCGCAAAAAGTGGGAGATCTTGCCAACTGCAAGGAACACAGGAATACTTTTGGGGCACGAATTTGAACGCACCATGAACTCTTCTTTACTTCATTTCCACACTTCCAAGAGCCAAGTGAGCGAATGGGCAAAGCGGTCCTGAGTGAACTGGGCATGTGGTCCTGAGTGCATATTTGCTGCTGTGGGCCAGGCTGACTACATCGGAGACATTCGCTCCCGCGTAGATCTCTTCAAGGAACACTTGGCACAGGCCTGGGAGCTGTTGGAGTGAACAAGCTGAATGGGTGTACAGTGCGAAAGAAGCGTTGGTTCAACGATTGGAACACATGTCTGGTCCTGGCGCGATCAGAGAAGCAAGAAGAAAGAAGAAATAAGAAGGCGCAAGAAGAAGCGAGAAGAAGGAGAAGGAGAAGGAGAAGGAGAAGGAGAAGGAGAAGGGGAAGGAGAAGGAGAAGGGGAAGGAGAAGGAGAAGGAGAAGAAGAAGAAGAAGAAAAATATAAAAAGAAGAAGAGCAAGAAGAATAAGAAGGAGAAGAATAAGACGAAGAAGAAGAAGGAGACGAAGAGGAAGAATGAAGACGAAGAGAAAACAAAAATAAAGAAGCTGATTAATATGATGATGAAGAAGATTAAGAAAAGAAGAAGATGAACGAAGAAGACGAAGAAGAAGAAGAAGAAGAATAAGAAGAAGAAGAAGAAGAAGAGGAAGAAGAAGAAGAATAAGAATAATAATAAGAAGAAGAAGAAGAGGAAGAAGAAGAAGAAGAAGAAGAGGAAGAAGAAGAAGAATACGAAGAATAAACAAACAAATACACAACAGAAACAGGGACAAGGCCAAACAGGCAGAATCTGATAGAATCTGCTTGTGTTTTGCACTTCATATTTTTTCATTGCCACGACTTCAGGAGGATGCCTTGTCACGGAAGTTCCAATCTCTGGCGTCATCATCTACATCTACGTGAGGCGCGACGACAAAGTCTCGGCGCGGCCCTGAGCGGCAGAGGCCGCAATACCCGACGATGTGCGGTGGCCACAATGGGGTGGCATGGATATGGACTCCCTGGACAAGGTTGCCACCAACCTAATAGCAATGGCCTCCAACCTAATTGACTCCATGGACAAGGTTTGAGTGTATAATTGATTGACTCAAAATGCTCACAGGCCACTATTTTGTCTGTGTACTCGTTCCCAAGTCCATGTCCAAAAAGCCCTGGGGGGAGCCGTGCTAGCACACGCCTGGCACAGACCTACCGGAACCCGGTATGTGGATGGATCGGCTGGCCGACATGTCAACATGCCAGTGACGACACAAACTGTTCATTCGAAGTATTTTGGGTTCCACAACTCCAAATTGGATCACACCTGAGACCATCCAAACTGGCGAGGACCAAGGACCACAGACTAATAGGAAGGGGCAGGGCCGGCAGGGTGCACGAAACCCTCCTGTAAATAGAACATGAGGTCCACCTCGACCGATACATGAAAACCCTATCACAGTGTATGATTGCATAGTACAAAAGAGGTATATACTAGTATGTAGTGAACTCAAACCACTGCGGGGTGATAAGGTCTACCTCAGAACTGATTATATATATATATAGTTGAAGAAGAATGAGTTTTGACCGCTCCTCAGATGTGGTTGAAGAAATGAATGCATCGTTTCTTGATGAGCGGTGGCCAAGTGTTCTTTTGTGACTGGACGTTTGAAGCATAGGCCGCATTGGCTCCAAAGTAAGCTGCCTCATTGTCTTGGCAAAAGCTCAACAATGTGCCCAGTTCGAGGATCCGATGGACAGCTGCTCTCGAATTGCCGATTTGCTTTCACTGCCGAAACAGTGAATGGGGTTGCAATCTTCAGTTGCCTCACAGCTCTGAAGTCCAAAAAGTTCGGACATGGGCACATTCCCACATGCTCCAGAAAGGGTCCAAAGGCTAGAAAAGGACATCGGGGCCTTTTCCCTTTTTCTCAATTTCTTTGTGTGTGTTTCTGAGTGTATTCTTTGACACTAGGAACTCCGGAGAGCATTGAAAGGTTCTCTCAACTTCGCCTTGCTTACATTCGCAGCAGTTCTGGTCGGCTTGTTTTAGCGTGCCATAGGCAGTGGCCTTTGTAGGCCCGAAAGTTATCGTGTTTATATAAGCCTTTTTGGTCAGTTTGCATCATGAAATGGTCTCTTTTCCAGTGCCGTCATGGCGAGTTCGCTGGGCTGAACATGCCTCCAATCCCAGCGCTACCTGGCCCATTTTGGCTTAGCCTTACAAGGCACGTAGGTAGAGACAGAGGGCCGAAGGTTTCCACGCAGGAAGAGCGCGGGCGGTTACGGCACCTCTGAGGCGGATGCGCCGGGTGCGGATCTCCCCCCTTTTTGACATTGAAAGGTCTTGAAGACATTGACCAATTTTTTTGAAGTCACTTCATCAGGATTTTGCTCTGAAGTTAGTTTTGAGCAAAAATTTGCTCTTCTCACGGAGGGAGGCTATTGTTTGAACACCAGTTGGCATCAGTTGGCATCATGGATCCCTTTGGCATCAGTTGGGTCATCCTTTTGTCGCACAGGAGGCTGTGAGCCATGCAGCTGAGGCCCATTCTTTGCCCGACCGTTCAACGGTTTGTATTTTTAGCCCGCTCCTACTTAATTAAGTAGGCGCCTACTTAATTTCGGAAGCCAGCTACTAGCTACTTAAGCTACTACATGGATGCAGGTTAGCTCACGCTTCTCCCCCGCCTGAAAGAGGGGGGAGCTTCCTTGAACAAGTGCTTGCACCAATGATTTTTAGGCATACATCGAGCAGATCAAAGGAAGATCATGGAAGATAATCGTCTAGCAAATTTTGATATCCCCAACTTGCCACTTTGTGAAAGGATATGTATAAATGAAATGCCCGTTGCTTTGGATGTTCGCTTTCAAACCAAGAAACTACCTGCAGAGACAACCATTTTCCTTCCCAGCATCTCTCCGAGTGGACCGAATCAGGATTCCCTGTGGCCTGTCACATGGAGGTTTACGGTTAAGGGCTCCCCCAGAAACGAAAAGCCGTCATTTGGCACAACACAGTGTGAAATTGTCACCCCCGAAAAAGGATGAAAAAGCTCCAGAAATGCATTTGTTTACTTGTTGCTTGCATGTGATCCGCCCTTGCAGTCCAGTCAGAGATGTTCCCCTCATGATTGTCTGCTTCGCTGCTCATCACTGCCCCCTCTGCAGATATTTGAAGAATCTGAACCCTCCCATCGATGGCATGTCCAAGGCGGGGCTGCAGTGTTTTCACTGAACCAATTCGGATGAACTGCGGGGCAGCCGCTCTCTGCGCCCGGCAGAGTTGGACCTTTCGATGGGGCAGATGACTCCCCCCAAAAGATAGGAGCCTGAAGATTCTGCCCAATGTGTGTTGACCAGAATAGGAATCAGGAGAGGTAATTAGGGCTTTGGCAAAGTCTTCCGGTGACCGACCCTTGCCCATTTTGCTGTTCCACCTGGCCAGAAGGTGACGTCCATTTCATGGAGTAGCAATACTACAAGGCGGGATGCTGGCTATGCAGCAGTTTGAGAGACTCTTGTACAAGTTTAGTTCGATAAACACTCATGAGAAACAGCTCGTTCGCTCAACCTTTCTTGACATCGTGATGCACAAAACCATCGACCCGCGGCGGCGAAATCGGCAGAGCACAGGCTTGCCACTGTGGGAGCGGACAAAATTGTGCCCTAGTCGCACCAGCTGCGAATCAGTCGCCCCAGACAGTGACAGTGGGAGATTTGCATTCGCTGTGCAGCTGTGAGAGATTTGCTTACGATTCAACACGAAACGCTGCAACGGATCACACCTTGTCATCGTTGGCTGGTGGACAGCCTTTCGGAGTGAAAATTGTCAGACAATCGGTGCACTTCTGTTTTGAGACAGATCTGCTTGAGGTGCAACTTTTCGATGAGCAAGGCGATAAGCAGGACCGCTTCAGCACTAAGCCTGCAGACAAGGCGGCAAGAAGCCCTAGTGAAATGCGGTTGCCAGTTGATGAAGTATCAGGATGGGAGTGCGGAGACAACACGTATGGGCGTTTTCCCTTCTACTTAGCTAAGCAGATTTTCAGCTTGCTGATGCCTCTTAGAGAAATCACACGACTCGGACCACATTTTCATCACCTAGGCTGCTCGGACCTATGCGGTGAAGACCATCGAATTCTCTCCTGACGGCACAAAATTGGCCGTCGCGCAGAGTGACAACATTGTGCCCCTCAGAGCGGTTTCGGCAGCTGAATTTGTGAAGGTCTTCCCCCTTTCCTGACGAGTCAAAGTATGTTCCCAAGATAGTTAGTAAATTTCTTCTGTCGTTGCTATATTTGCAGGTTCGTGTGAACACCCGAGGGAGCCGGTCTCACAGATCCGGTCTCACAGATCCATGGAGAAGGACTTGTGAAATCCGCGGGCTAAGACATTGGGGCAAGCCAATAGTGGAGTATGGTATGTTGGTCAGTATCAATTTCAGATCGGGTACTCTTTCTATTCAGCCTGTCAAGCAAAGGCGTTTCCTGCCTTCGAAGTAGCCCATGTAGTCGGTATTTGTCTAGGATCCTGTTTCAATCCGCCATCCAAATCTTCTTGAAACAATTGCATGATTCGGTATCTCGACCTCCAAATGTCTTGGGAATCGTCTCTGTCTCTCTCTCTCTCTCTACATCTATATATCTATCTATTTGGACATATCTTATAGCCTGTGTTCTTCCATATCCTCTCATTTCAATCATGGACTTGGGTGGCCCAGCATTTCAGTTATTTGATCCGCTCAACGACCATAGCAGTTCCGCGTGAACTTCTGGCAGTCTTTCTCTCTTTTGGCTTTGAGCTACATGTTTTGTTCCTTCTGATTCTTCTGATTTCGAGGTTTGTCTACAAGCTTGGAACCGACTGGAAGGCACGACAATCATGGTCAAGACATGAACCAAGATGTGCCTTTCTGATTGAAGGGCTGGGTTGGCAACAAATGCTGATGACAGAATAAGGCTTCATGGTGACAACCTGTTGTAGTGGGCAACAGAGCATGTCTCTCTTTCTGATTGGATTTGGCTGTTTCAACATGTTTCAATTGCCAGGACAAGAAGTCCATCTGCAACAAGTTTCAGCAGACCTCCAGTGTGACCTGTCTCAGCTGGCCTGCGGGTCATCCCAATGAGGCGGGCAAGAACGGATCAAGCACATCACACATGTATCAATGTATGATGTGGCTACTGTAGATTGGAGGTGGAGCGGACATAAATGGGGAGTGTTCAGAACTCATGGAGTCTTCAGAGGTACCCTTCTGAAGAGTGCTCAGAACATGTCTGAACATAGGCACCGGCACCACCTTTGACCACTATCAGCGTCAAATTTTGATTACTTGGTGATTGGATCAGGTCGTTTTTGGCCTTGCTGAAGGCAAGGTCAAGGTTGGTCAGCTCAAGTCCAACAAGGCCAGTCGGAGTCGGAATGAGTGGACGACTCGAAGACAATACCCCGTACTCCTCACAACGACATTTTTTCATTGCAAATCTTAAGTCTCTGTCTTCATGGCCGGAAACTCTTGTGCAGATGGTGTCTTGTTTCTGGAAGCTCTCTAAGCATGGGTCTTGCCATGATATGATATGACGTGATGATACAGAATGACGCATGATTCCAGTTTCATAGTCCAGAAAGTGTCCACTGTGCTTCCATGCTTCTCGGAAACTCCTGTGGACCCCCCTGAAAGACCTTAGGATACCGCCCCAGCAGGAGGAAGACGTGAGGCTCACACGGCGCCGCAGTCGTTCGACATGGGAGGCGGCCACCTTGTACTCCACGGACTCCTTCGTGGTCTCGATGTGCAGCGGCGGCCCGGCAGCATTTCCGTGGGAGAGAATTGTAAGGCTTAGAATGAAGGGGCAAAAGGCGACCGAAGTGATCCCATCTTTGGTGTTGGAGAAGAGGATTATGAACGGTGGCTTTGGCGATTTAATAGATTCCATGGCCGCCGTGTCTGACTGGGCCCCTTCTTGGATCTGGGGCCCCCTGCTCTTGGCCTGGCGGTGTAATCCCAAGAGCAGAATTCTAAGCACCAATAAAGTTAATAGATACAATAAATTCCAAGATATGAAGAGACCATAGGATACAAAGAATAAGATAAGAATTCCGCGGGGATGTCGACTGAATACACCGGCTGGTCGGCTGGTGCTGCTTGTCGCCACAGCTGGCTTGCGGATCCTGGAGGAGAAGAGGAGCTCATAAGACCATTGACAGACATGATCCAATGACCTGAAAAATCTCCCGGAAGGGGAAGCACTGTGTCCAGCAAGTGCAAGTATATTGAAGTGTCATCGTTTTCCACAAACACACGCCCACACCACCGCCTTGCATCCGAGTCATTTTGCACAAGACCAGTTCACTCCAAGAGATACTCGTTGGGCGGGGCACAGACTCTCGAGGGCACGTTGGCACGTCTCTCGAGGCCCGGACGGAAATTCCATCCTCAGCGGCCACATCGATGGCTCGATTTATCGGTTTCATTTTGAGACTGAAACTGCTGGGTGCTCAGTCTGTGAGACAAAGGGATGAGGCTCAGCTCAGCTGTGATGAGGCTCGGCTCTCTCAATGAGTTCGTTGCTTCAGGTCCCTCGCCCGACCACCACCAAGTTCGCGATGGTTCCGCAGGCGAGGGACCTGCACAGCACGCAGGTAGGTTGCTTGGTCGATTGCGTTTGGTTGACTGCCTCTCGTCGGTTGCTTGACTGGTGGCCTGGCCGGTGTGTTGGCTTCCGGGCACCGCTTTTTGCTGCCCTTGTGCTTTACCAAAGCAATGGTTGGTAATTGATACCGATTGATAAAACGATATTAATTACAAGAACCGACAAACATCGGCAAGACTGCAAGACCACTGTTGGAGGACTTGGCCATGCGCAAGCTTGTTTTCGCTGTTGGAGGGAATTTTCTGGAACTGATGGGTTTTCCTAAGATGAACTTTGACTTCCGACTCTGGTAGGAGTTGATCCACGCCTAACGTTGCCTGCCACTCTGGTAGACTCATGACGCACTGTAGCCCAACCTCCCGCTGCGCAGTGCGTGCCCTACGCACTCTCCTGGGGCTATGCGGGCATTTGCGCTGCGGGGAACGACCGAATGGTGCGTTTCTGGGACTCTGAGGCTGGGCTGCACAATCATGTGATCTGCTGTGTGCTAGTGGATCTTTGTTGTCCAGGACAATCAGACGAGTTTCTTGGCAGGTTATGGATGACTCAATCTTAATCTTACAGGAATTCATAATTTGGATGTATTGTAGCAAGGTCTCTTTCTTGCACATCCACGCTCCATGCCTGCAGTCATCGTGTGCAGGGCAGGGAAGGCCAGACCTTCGATTACAGTACTGACTCCAAAATCAAGGACTGAACGACCAAGCCGCAGGGCACGAGATGAACGAGCCAGGGCTTGGCATGACAGTTGCATGAAAGCTGCACCAAACGTACTCTAGTTGAATGTCTTCACACTTATTTGAGAGCTAAGCTGTGCACTGCTTGTTGGCCATTGAAAGAAATCAAATTGTCAAATACTCAATACAATATAGGTATCATTTTGCAGTCATCTCCTGAGAATTAACCTAGAGTCCAAATGCCAATTTTTCCTCCGTAAACAGTCATCTCCTTGGGTCCTTCAACCGTTTTTGACCAGAGAATGCAGCTGCAGCAGCGTCACGCAGCGCCTGGTTGGTTGTAGGAGTTTACCTGTGCTGCCTTCAATCCCTCTGGGGAGTCCGTGGTGCTTGGGAACTACAATCGCTTCTTAGCACCTCGGTGGACGGCGATGCGCTGTTCGGTTCCATGGATCGATGGGGGCTTCAGGGATTCTCATGTTATTCTTGGCCACATTCTTACTTTCTTGAGCTTCTGAGATCACTTTGTTTTGGACATCTCAGGTGTTTGCATGGCATCCCAAGCGGAGCGAATGGGCAGAGGTGGTCCAACGAGAGGTGCCCGATCAATGCTTGTTCGGGGTGTTCCAGTTTAGTCACTTTGGTCGTACAAATCACATTTTACAACTATTGTTCAGCAATGTTCAGCAATTACTTATCACACCTGGGCCTGGGTATCATTCTGGCCATTGGACCGACATGCGTGAGACCTTTCTTCACTTCCAGGACATGACACTTCTTTCTAAGTTCGGTCACTTCATCCAGGTTGTCTTCATCACGCTTCCAACTTCTGTGGCAAAATCCTGTTTAGTATGGCTACAATCAAGCTGCTTTCGCCTTCTGACTCGTTCTTGCTCTCTGTGCAGCCAGGTGCCCAACCTCTACTCGGTCACAGCGCTGACGTGGCGAGCCGATGGCTCACGCCTGATCGTTGGATCCCTCTGTGGTGGAGTGGACATGTTCGACGTTTGCATCCGCCGGTCGCGTTGGGGCGCCCAGTGGGGACAGAAGCGGATCTTCTGCAGGATGAAGAAGTTCGTCCGACAGGTGAGTTTTGCAAGACCGTCCTACCATGAAAGATGGACGGCTGGAGCTTGCTTCGCTGCTTCGCTCTTGCTTCGCTTGCGCTCTTTCGCTCAGGTTACCGTGGCACTCATGAGTTCACTTACGTCTCCTTGAGCCAAGTGATTGTGAAGAGCATCGCCACGGGGCATCGCATCGTGTTGAAGAGCAACGTGGGCTTCGAGATTCAGAAGATCAACATCTTCCAGGTGCAGTGGTGCGAGCCAGATGATGAAGCCCCACTGAACCAAACACCAAGGGATACCAGGCTACCACCTCGGCTACATTGTTTTGCACCTTTTTTCTTCTGCAGGTTTTTGCGGGGTCGCACAAGTGACCAATGGCTCTTACGGGCTACCAATGGCATGCTTCGCCCACCGTCCCTTCTAGCAGGACCGGTTCTTGGTGGCCAATACGCCCGAGAGCATCTTGCTCGGAGATTTGCAGACTTGCCCCGGGGCCCAGCAGAGCCGATACCGCAGGAACTCATTCGGACTCGGTCCTTTCGAAGTGTTGGACTCACGGTCGACCTCGAAGCTACCCCCCTCAATGCGAGACGACGAGATGGTGCTTCTCCAGCTCATGCAGTTTCGAAGGCCTCAGAGCAGGCCTCGTAGGCTGTGTGAGGTAGGGTCGTGGGAAGTGACGGTACGTTTGCCACCTGAGCCCTTCAGACCATGCTAGACCCTCTCAAGCACAGACTTTGATTGATGATGTTTTATGTTTTGCAATTTTTGTTGTTGTTCAAAGAGAATATGATGTGACCGTGACTCTGACTGTGAGGCAGACTATCTGAGATTCCTTGGCACTCGAGCGGCCCGGGCTCCTACTGCAGTCACAGCTACATGCGCTGCAATTCTTTCGCAAGTAGCAGATGAGGCGATTCAATCGATACCTTTGATTCATGCATGCAAATTGCAGCTAGCCTACCTACAGCTTCAACACTTGCAGCCTTGAAGATTGAAACAGCTTCAAGCAGACCCTTTTTCCCCGAGGCACTGAGAAGTTCTTCTTTGACAATCCGACTGTGTGCATGATCTTCAAGGCACCCACCAACAGCTGCGGTATTCTTGTGTCGATCGATCACAGGCACCGGCAGCCGTTTTGTGTTAAGAACATGGCCGCTGTGGCCTGAAAGGATGTCTTCTGCAAAAGATCGTCCTTAGAATCATCTGGATCAATCATTGAAAGTTCAGGTTCCCAAGAAGGTTATACTGGTTCTTCTACTGGCGTCAAACGAGGAACGACCCAAACTAGAGCATTCACGCACGCACGCACGTTGATAGAGTTTTGAGTGAAGAACTATCTCCAAAACAGTATGGAGATTGGCGCAAGAACTTCAGGAACACACAAATCCCACTGTCATCCCATCCTTCCATTGGCATCTCAGGCTGGTGAGCTCTCAGTGGTGGAGTATGGCTGCAATGAGCTTTTAGCTTGTGCCGGGCACCCTAGCAGTGGAGTGTCAGCCGATTTCCTCAAAGTGCAGTGAAGAAACTCACTAAACAGCACCTTTGCCAGTACAGGAAGATGACCCCCTTGTCAAGTCTTCAATGTTTTTTTTTCTTCCTTTCGTGACTTGATAAGCAAGTGGGTCTGAAACTATTCGCATGTGGGGGGCCTTCTCCAGTTTATGCTATGCTTTTGTCACAAACACTGTACTGTACCATGTTTGGCATTGCAAAAGCAGGCACGATTGCCATGACATTATTGTGATTTGGAATCTATAATAATCTTCAAGTCAACGCTGTAGTTTTGCTCTCATTAAAAACCTTTTGATAAACAGGAAGTCGTAGTCCAAACATGAGGGCAAAAGGAATGTGAGACCATCCATACTCTCGCTGAAAACTCAGTTTGTATTAAGCGAGTTTTCAAAAAGGGCAAGCTGAGATGTAATATTTACCCAAGATTTGACGCACATCCAGTACTGTTTTCCAACAAGAGAACTGTACACGGAACTACATCTTGCGTCAACCTATCTTATTTGTTTGGCCAAGCAACCTAGTATCCAAACGGGAGTTCTGAAAGCATAAGACATTGCTGCCTCCAGCCTGCAGATCCTGCAGCCGCTTGCGCCAAGGCCCGAACGGAGTTTATGTCCCCTCATCTCATAAGCCCTGCTCCCAGTTTGGCAGTGCCTGAATGTGGTTGAGGACGTGCTCACTCAGTGTTTAGAGGGCGATTCATATAGTTGGCTGCAGAAAGTAAGTTCGAGCGTGGAGAAGCTCCAGTTGTATACAGTTCCGAGGAGCTGTTGCCCTGTCGGATAAAGGAGGCCTAACGGCATAACACGTGTTTTCATGAGTAATTTTGGACACATCTCAACACATGTTGTAACCAGGTCGGAGGAACTGCAAGAGCCTTGCGAACTTTGAGCCTTGAGAAGATTCAACGGCTCAACTTGGTCAAAGCGGGGTATGCAGAGACCAGGACCTTTCAATTGGGGTTTGTTTCTTAGGCGTCCGCATCAACACTCCGGACGAGAACGATGTCTATGCTCCAGCCATGGGAGAGCTGAAGGCAAAGCTGAAACCTGGTCAGAAAGGGAGTCATTATGAGCTATTGGAAACAATAAGCTACTAGGAACAAGTGCATCGCTAGTAGTAACAAGTGCCTTACTAGTAGTAACAAGAAGCTATTAGAAACAATAAGCTACTAGGATTTCTTTGCGTGAGCAGTGCCTGCAACAGCCGTGGTTCGTGCTGAAGATGTCCTGCAACCGACCGAAGCGCGAGGGAACCGTGCCGTGCAGGTGATCGCATACCTTTTGGATCTCATGACCATTCGAGTGGTTGATCTGGCCCGGGCTTCCCAGAACTAGTGCGCCACGCTGGACAGAAGAAGACCGAAGACATGAGGCGATCAGTGGGAGGTGCAAAGGTTTTTCAGGAGATGGTTCTTTGAACACGTATCTCATTTCATGATGTAGATTTGACAGAAACGAACGCGCATGGTCTTTTTCTAGAGGTTTTCAACTTCAGGAAAGTGTTGGTGAACTCATGAAATTGCTGTTAAAGTTGGATGACAGCTGTTGTCGTTTCGCTCATGTTGCTCAGGTGACCAATACTACGCTGGCCACCATCTCCCACGACACCCGCATCGATTGGTTGGTCCGGCAACCAAGCTCATGGCGAGACTGCACAGCTGTTGGTTGTTCCAGCTTCGGGAGTCAGCTTTTTGAGCAACATTTGTGCCAGAACCTACTTTTTGAGCAGCTTCCGAATTGCGTGGGAGAGCAGCTTTTTGAGCTATAAAAACATAGGCCCTGGCCCTGACACACAGGACCAGGAGGGCCGTGTTTCTATGCTCCCAAGGAGCTGAATCCGAATGGTGCCAATCGTTTGGGGAGCCTAGCTGGAGTAGCCGAGAGATCATGCGCTTCAGTTTTTGAGGGAGATTGTTTGGAGTTGGTCATAGTTTCTGTGCAATCTGTACTCTGTACATCATTCATCATTGTTCAACCAATCACTGCTGCAATGACCAGGTATATAGGGTTGTCTGCCCAGACCAAGATTGTTAATTTGACATGGATCTGAGAAGGAGAGTAGGCTTTCAAAGCACAGCTTCGGCTTCAAATTCAAACAGGAACCACGAGTCCAGCATTTCTCTGCATTTGTTTCTGTGATTCACCAAGTTCTGCCCACACACCGCCCAAGCTGGATAGCTACGAGCACAGCTACCAAACATGGGGGCACGCACCGGGGCAACCGGCTCTTAAGGGCTCCAGCTATTCACACGCACTCCCCCCACTCTGCAGCTCAAGCATGCAGTGTGCAATGTGTGCAATCTGGCAGAGGCCGTTGGGCTTGAGCCACCGCACCAACTGTTAGGCGCCTCACCAAACTTCATGCTAAACTTCTCGCTGATGAACTGCACCGGCCCCCCGCTTTCTGAGACCACACCATCCCCCGCTTTTTGAGGCAAAGACTCACCCTCCAACTTCTTTGTCGAACAGGCCCTGAATCTCCCAGCTTCACCACACATGCAAGAAGCATCCCAGCGGACATCAAAGCCGCGCAATGGCCACATTTGGGCTCATAACCTGTGATTCACCAAGTTCTGCCCACACACCGCCCAAGCTGGATAGCTACGAGCACAGCTACCAAACATGGGGGCACGCACCGGGGCAACCGGCTCTTAAGGGCTCCAGCTATTCACACGCAGTTTCTATTTCTTGCTTCATTTGCTAGTATTGCTAGCAATACCATTTTCTCATGAACCAATGAGGCCTCATTTTCCGAGACAAGCGCCGGCAGCTTTACCTTTACGACATTGAGCAGCAGAGCAGGGTGGGTGGCAGTTGTGACATGTAAAAAACGGCTGTTTCATCAACCCTCTTTAATCATTTTAAATCCATCTCTTCAGGCCTCCCTGGCTCAACCAGAATGAGTAGGTTTCATCCGTTGTCGGTCGTGCCTCTGCACTTGGTGCCTTCATTTTTCAGGATTCGTCGCATGAGCATTCCTGGCAGGTGACACTGCTCAACTACTGCAACTACGTGCAGTGGGTGCCAGATAGCGACGTGGTTGTGGCGCAGAATCGAGGCTCTCCCACAAGCTCCGCTGAAGAGATTAGTTGGATGTGTTCTGCATGAAGTGCTTCCACAAGAGTCCAACCTTTTGTGGTTTTTGTTGGAAGGGGAGAGAGGACAAGGGAGAAGAGGTTCCGCAGACACAAGCCGATGTCATTTGCAGCCACATCATTTGGAGGCCAGCTTTGTGTTTGGTACTCCATCAACGCGCCGGACCGGGTGACATTGCATGAGATCAAGGGTCACCGTGATGCAGTTCAAAAAGTTTTGCCTCTTTCTTTGCAACTTCTTCAAGCCAAGACCCGAAAGAAATCCGTAATACTAAATAGAGTATGTCCTTGGTCCTTGGTTTGTGGAAAGAAGCTGGCGACGAGTGCAAACACGAACTCATTCTTTGTTTTGCTGCCTTTGTTGTTTTCCTTTCACACACCGAGTTGCCCGTGATTCAAAGGTGACATCGAAGATATCGAGCGCTCCAATGGCCGCACATGTGTCATTGTGGACGAAGGTGTGAACATGGCCACAGCCTCACAGCCTGTGCTGTTACAGGCATGTTCGGACAAGCTGGGAGCTTTATTGAACTTGAAAGTTGATAGACAAAACTCAGAGTGAATATCCACACTATATCTATCTCGCACAGCAAAAGCCAACATTTGCCGGAGCCTTTTTTGCAATTACTGTAAGTACCAAGCTGAAGTCTGGAGTGTCAGTGCAAACCGTGATTTTGATAGTAAGTTCGACAAAGTGTGCTTTTGGCATTCAGAACTTGCACTTAGCACTTCCAAAACAAGATTGTTGATTGTCCTATATTGTAATTTTCATTTCAATTTTTGGCCGACTGTTCACATGGAGGTAGCCGGTGAGGATCCTGCGATTCAATCCTAAAGTTTCATGAAGAAAGGCGATGGGGCCACATACTGTGTTTTGGACACCCTATTCTCAACACAGGTCTGAGTGCACGCCTAGCATGCAAGACTGGCTCAGGTCGAGTACGAGCTGGATGAAGGCCTTATCTCCTTTGGTTCATGCCTCGAACGAGGCCAATATGCAAAGGTGCGCAAGGGCAAAGGACACATTCACATCAACTGGCAACTTTGGAAGAAGTATGTCACGATTCTTTCAACGTGTGAAGACTTGCTATTGGGGTTTGGCAGCAATTTCCGAAGCACCCGGAGCAAACCACCCTTCTTGAAAAGATCACAAAGGCTCCAGGCTGATTGCTGGATTTTCATCGATTCGCGGTAGGAGCGTGTTTAGTCTCTTGCTTAATTGAGTAGGCGCCTACTTAATTAACTCAGGAGGCAGGGCCACGAACTTTAAAAGCAAAAATGTGGCGGATAGGTTCCCCAGGCGGTTGACGGTGACGCCAGGCTGTTGACCTCCTGGAGGAGAGCGTTGCAGCTGGGGCGTCGCGTCGCTGTCGAGAACCCCTGGATGAGGTGATGGTCCCGACGGTCCAAGCATCGCAAGGCTTGGAGACTTGCTTAGGGACAAGGCGTGGACATGAACACCCAAGGCTTCAAGCATGACGAACTGCAAGCTGCTTTTGGGCCTTGGGGACTGGACAAAGACGGCCTTGGGGCTTGGAGCCCTTAGAGCAGCGAAGCAAACACAGAAACAGCTTTGGAGATCTTTGGAGGGTGACGATCAAGGCCTTTCTTGATAAGCGGGGAGGTCCCGTTGACAGACGACAAGGTGACAGGTGGAGCAAAAATGAAGGACCGAGACAGACAAGAGGCATGAAGAATTTTCACCTATTTGTTCGACGACCGTGACGAGCATTACGAGCACCCCAAAACTTCGACCATTCTTTGCCAGTGTGTTTTGTTGAGAATCCATGGATGTTCGGCCAAGACGAAAAAGGGAACGCTTGGCCAATTTCGTTACTAAGTACTTGACAGTTTCCTCAGCAGGAGCTGCCACTGACACCGGAGACTGAAGCGATGTGGCGTTCTTTGGCCGATGCTTCAATGGAGCCGGGGAAGGGTAGACAGCTGGTCGTTCTTGTGTTCTTTGTTTTGGGTGGAAGAAAATCATCAGCTGCTCCCGAGAAAGCCAGCTGCTTAGAACAGCTGGAAGTCCTTGAGCCTGTATGACCTCTGGTACCAGCAAGCCAACCAAATGATTGTGTCCAAGAGATGATGGTATGATCGGAAGACGTGAAGGAAGACTTTCCTTCTCTTTTCTTCTCCAACCAAAACAAGAGCAACCGTTTTGAGGTCCAAGTCCAAGTTTTGCCCCAAGAAGACTCGGTACGCCGGTCGCTCCGCCAAACTCGGCGGCCAGGAGCACTTCAATTTGCCGGTGGCCGAACGCTGCTATGCGGTCCTGGGAGATGTGGCTAAGAGTCGATATCTTCATAAGGCAGGGCGATGTGAGGCTCCGCAGACCGTGCGAAACGACCATGCTCAGACCAGGTGCGTGGGCAGGGTGTGCAGTGCGTGCAGGGTGTGTGTGTGTGTGTGTGTGTGCGCGCCGTGCTTTGAAAAAGGTCAATCGACTGATTCAAGACCATGCTGCAGAAGTTGGCGGTGATGGCTCCAACTTCTACATGGCGCAGGTGTGGTATGTGAGTGGACGTTTTTTTGGCGGCAGGATGTTACTTATCCAAAAATCCACGTGAGCTTTTACTACTCGCTAGATAAGCATACCACGGCCTACCACCCCGAGGCAAAACGTATTTTTGTTGTTTGGGTTCTCCAGTGTCACACATCGTTTTCCATCTCAGGCGAAAATGGCGATGCTGGCGAAGCAGTTTCAACGAGCTGAGGAGTGAAGTGCTTGGGGATTCGGAGCGGGGAGTGCTGGTATTTGGCATACCTGACGCGTCCGTACTGGTTTCTTGTCATCGATTTAGGTTTCTTGTAGTGGCTTTGATTGATATTCTTTAGATACCCATTTCCACAGCCTTTCGCTCCCACCACGCATGCTTCATGGATCTTCATGGCTTCAGAGGCTTCAGAGCGTGCCAGGCCATTTTGTTGGACCACAATGAGCTGGATGAAGCTTTGGCCATGTACCAGGAGACGCCTTGACTGCACTGGAACGACTGTCGAGCTCATCAGAGTGAATGAGGCTTTACCGACATTTCAAGCTTGCAAGTTTGGATGACAAACATTCTGGACCATACCAGGTACCCTGGATCCACCCTCTCCCATCAAGCAGAATCTCAGCTGTGTGAAGCGACGCACGGTTGTCGATGAACTTGTTCGATGATCCTGGTTGTCCCTTCCAGGAGCTTCACAAGTATGATGAGTCCATCAGATTGGCAGAGCGAAAGAACCATCCAAAGGCGGAGATTGAAGGTTTGGTCTTTGGGAATCGAACTCGATCTCACAAAATAAGATCAGTTTGATTTCAGCAATCAAGCTCCGATTTCCGCACATTGATGTTGCAAACCCATTTTGAGGAGCAACTAGTTCCCTGACCAGGTATCTCACTTGAAGAACTTCTACCTGCAGTGGCTTTTGTCTACGCAGCAGGAGGAGTGACGAGTCAAGCTCCCACCACAGCTGTTGGTTGCTTGTGGACGCCACGAATTCTTGCGCTTCCCTGATTCAAGATATTCTCCATGAACAAGCGCACATGGGAAGATGCCTGACAAGTCTTTGGCCATCTATTTCCAGATATATACACCTTTCTTCACCAGACTCAAGACAAACCCATTGTGAAGCAACCCCCTTTTCGACTCCAGGAGAAGGCCGGAGAGCTGCAGGAGATTGAAGGCGACTTTGTCAGGTGCCCACAGCGGGACAGGATTTGAACACAATACTGGTGTAGATCTCAGAGTTGATTCTACAATCTTATCGCATTCGATCAATTGTTCGATTCTTCCCATTGTTCGTATCATTTCACATCTTCAAGATCGCTTTCTGTGCACTTGCGCCTTCTTGGCGCCTTCTGGGGGAAGTGCAAGAATCGAAAGCCTGAGCAAGTGAAGATCATCGCAACCTGGAGTTGGCTCAGATGGCCTTAGTGTTTCTACACCCCGGCTCTGGGTCCTCGGGCCCCTCCCGGGCTAGAGCAGCGCATGCTGGCACATCACCTCTTGTCTCTGGCCGGAATCCTAGTGTGGAAGAAGCAATCGACTCAGGTTGACAAGTGTCAAGAGAGAGGTGAATTGCAGCTTCACTCAATTTGAATTGAACGATGTAGCTAGGTGACAGCCTTTGTGTTCCTTCCAGCAAGTCCTTTCATTTTTGGAAGCAGATCAACTGCCCAAAGGTGTGCAAAAGCAAATGGCATCACTCACAGTGGCTGGACACACTCCCAGGCCCCACTCCCTGTGCGACAAGTGCGAAGGAGAGCAGAGCTTCAACCCCAGGTGAAGGAGATTTCTTACACAGGACGATCGATCATCAAACAGAGTAGCAGTATGAGTGACAGCACGTATGGGATCACAGACCTTATAAATTATAAGTATATAGAAATATCACTTTTAAGCTGGCAACCTGGTCAGGTGGCAACATCGGGGATCGGGTGCTTATTGACCAATGTTACCAGGTAGCTCAATAGCACCCGGTGCGCATGGTAGCTCATCTCACCAAAACCTTCGGGTTGGTAGTCACCAGAGTTGGTACATTGGTCGCTTCTTCCCTTTCTCAATGTCTTTCTCCATTGTTCTTCTATGCTGAGGTGGCTTTGTCCGCACTGGGTCTCCTAGCCGCTTGCCAGAGGCAGCTAAAGCGTTTGAGCGTGCCCTGCCGTTCTTTCAATGGAATTCAGCTAGTTCTGAAGTCCTACATTGGTTGACTTGCCATCTAGTGGTTGCCATGACACAGCTTTGAGTGATAGAGTCCTGTCTTGTCAGATGCCGAAGATGGACACATCTTCGGCGTGAATGGCGCGGCCAGCGCGTGTCGTGCCATGCGCAGGAGCGCTCGGCGATTTATCATGTAGTTCCTGTGGTGCGCCTTGCAATGCTAGCACGATTATGACTCTTTACACTTCCCCCAGAAAACGTTCTATGATGCTTTTGGCTCCCATATGAGGAGGACGATGAGAACGAAGACTACTTCGAAAGCACAGGCTTGCTGCTTGGAGTTCTTAGGGTTTGTTGGAAAGAGGGCTACATAAATGATCCTGATATATATATATATATGTATAGTTGAGAACAGTGCGTTGTTCTTACACAGGTCAGGAGGCGAAGGCAGCCTGATCTCTGTATCGTCCAAACTAAAAAAGAGTGTCGGAAGAATTTGACCTGAGGAGCAATCAGAATATTGGAATATGCAGTTTCATGCAGAGGGACAGGTTTACATTTGCTCTCTTCGTGGTTGCTCCTGTCAGCTGCCTGCTCGGTCGCTGAGGTGGAGGCAGCCAAAGCAGCAGTGCCCGCCAATCATTGCTACAGCCTTAGCTAGGCTTTGATCGAGAGGACACATCAACAAGGCTCAACAGATAATATTCGGAATTGGAGATGATTGTTATTTAAGAGTCAAGAACCATTGTAGATGGATATATATATATGCTATGATGTGACACGTGAATTCGCAACGGTCGTTTTGTTTGCCTTCAAAAGTCGACCCATGCGAAGTTTCGATTCCTGCTGCTTAACTCATTTAAAGAGGTCGATGCCATCGGAAGCTTCACAGACCTTGACTCAGTCAGTCCAGAAGACTTGGTGCATGACTTGGTTTATTTGGAGTTCAATTATTGCCATTCCGGCTTTTCCGGTAGGATTGCTTAACGGCAGATGAAACGTATCACTTTCGACCTTTTTCCATAAGAGGTATATATCCAAAGATTTGGTTAATGTAGGAGACATCTTGCAAGGCTTATGACCCTTTGTAGCAAAGTATCTCAGGACACTTGGTGACACTCCTCACACAAACAGTAAACTCATGTAAACGAAACAACCGATGCGAGACTCCGTTCCCATGAGCCTTTTTCCTTGTAGGCTTGATGTTTTGTCACCGAGCGCGGATGAATTGGTGAACGTGGACGTGCCAAACCACTACTTGAACATCTCCAGGCCCTTGGGAATCGACCGTTGGGCGGCAATTGTTGTGGACAGAATCTTCTACACTAGTCATAGGCGAACTCTCGATCTTCCAATGACCTTTCCCAGAAGCTCTGATAGAGAACATGGTATCTTCTTCCTGTTTATTCGTTGTTGTCCACAAATCTTGGCACTTCTAAGAGGGTTTGGCAAATAGGGTTGGTGCCAGGCCGCCAGGCGAGATTGGGTTTGCCTCGTTCGATTTCCGAATTGCCAAGGTCAAGACCTACAAAAAGTGTCAGAGGCGGTGACGGACTTAGAAGTCGATGCAAGTTGTGTTTCGGAACCGCTTCTGCCCTGGTTCGCTCCATGCCTTAAGTCACACCCAGTAAAGCTGAAAGCTGGGAACTTGACCATGAGACCCCAGTCAATCCAAGAAGTGCAAACCTGCATGACTAGGGAGATACCTTTCCTGCACCGAGGGTGTTCTGTCAGGTTCCAATTTTTTGTCCAGCTGAGGTTTTCGGAATCGTATGGCTCATGAGTTAAAGTAAGGAACACCTCAGGGCTCCCGAAGCCCAAAACTACTTGAGCGCAACAAGCTTGCGTCAAGATAAAGGGATACCAATTATAAAGGGTATGTCTCCAAAATGGGGTCGCTGCAGGGAACCATGGTCGCTCATACCTGCAGGTCCCGTGCCGTTGGCCGCCGTTGGCCCTTAGGCCCTGCTCATGTGCATGGTCGCTCCAAGCGCTCCAAGCAGAAGGCTGATATCTAGTTGACATTCATCATTTCCTTTTTTCATGTGCTATTCTTTTTTTAAACAGATTCAAGGTTTAGAGTTTCTTGAAAGCTGCCACGGATTCCAGTCTTCCATGCATGGTGGGTGATTAGGCAGGGTCTGCAAAAACATTGCCCGAAAGCCACAGATCCGTTTCGTTTCTCGACAGGTCCAGTGGCGATTGAAGCAGGGCCCTCCTTTGGCGCACAAGAACTGGGACTTTCCGTCTCGTCTCCGGGTCTCTACGGGTATCGCTCGACCCTGAACATTGTGAAGTGGTGAAGTGGTGTGGTTGTGGAGAAGCAAGTGACAAAAACGGATTGGTACTTACTGGTAGATGTTTAATGGAAGACATTAGAACACGATTTCATGGCTTGAAACTATCCAAAGGGGTGAAAGACACAAATTCCTAGCAAACCTTCGCTTCAGGCCAAGCGTCGGCGCCTGGAGCAACCCACAGGTGCCGGGATCCTAGAGGCAAGTCCGAAAAGTGTGGGTACTCACCCGTGGCCCCTGTGGTGTGGCTCAAAAATGAAAGAGTGTGGCTCGACTTGGAGGCTAGAAGTGGTCTGAAGGACCCTAGCAATCGAGCATCCATAGTTCTTGCGCATCGGAAAAGGAGAATTACTTCCACCACCATACATCATGAGAGCTTTGCTCGGTGGAAGAGTCTGAGAATGTGACGGCAGTCAAGCATGCCTCAAGAGCTGTAGGTCCATATCATGCCAATGTAAATAAATAAATAAATAAATTATGACTATACTGTACTTATATATGCACATTACAAAAAAAACCATGTTTAAACCTGCATTTCTCGGAGCGGGAGCAGTAGGCAACCTACAACTGAAAGTGTATCGATTATATCATCAATTTGATAAAGGCAATTAACTGCCTGACCAGTAAGTTGACAACCTTCAACTCTTGAAAGTGCATCGGTCAGAGCGGGAGAAATCACCTAGCCAGTAGGCAACAACACTGAAAGTGTATAGCTTGTATCATCAATGGGATAAAAGCAATCATACGCCAAGCTGGTAAGTTGGCAACCTACAACTCCTGAAAGTGCATCGCTTGCATCATCAGTTGGACAAGAACAATCACTTACCTAACCAGTAGGACACGAAACAGTACGCTGCAAAGTGAGCGGTTCGGCTTTGTGTTTTGATTAGACAGTCGGATTCCCCTTGTCCGCTCCAGTTCTGGTCGTTCAGTCCAGGGAACATCAAGTCTTCGCTGCCGAGGTGGTTGTGAGACCAACGATGGAGCGAGTGCGGGAGGCGCTCTTCAATCAGGCTGGATGTGGTGACAGCAATGCGCAGTCACATCATTGCATGGGCACAGCTTGAGACAGAAGTCACAGTGACAGAGCGCGTTGGCACAGAAGCTTCAAGAAGTATGGGCCTCCATAAAACAATAAATCCCAATGACACAGCAATGGCACACTAGTGTCAAGAAGCATGAGAACTAAACACATTGTCTAGCACTTGGCAGACACAGACGTGAGGACGTGAGTCACACGTGAGTCACCGAATGAACACCTGAAACTGTGACACACTCCGCTTTTGAGGGGCCCACAAATTTGGATTTGTTCCTTTCTGGGGTCTGTCAGGAAAGCTCCACATATATATCACATATTGTTTTGGCACAGATGGTCTGTAGATCGCAATGCTTTCTTTTGGATTCTGGGCATGCGGCATGTGTAGCAACTAGCTTTGCTCCGCAAGGTGACCTCTATGCACTTGTTTGAAGACCGCTCTGTACGCGTGCTTGATCTTTTTGCAGGCCGGGACTGGAGGGCAAGCCATGAACATGTCCAAGAGGACTTGGCTGTGTAGCTGTGGGGCTGAATGTTTATACACTTTAATTGGGCATTGGGCATGTGTTTCTGAGGCGTCAAGTGGTTGTTGAAGACCAAAGGTTCCCCTGCACTCTTCAGTGACTCCCACTGGGGGGGGCGGGCGTCCGGACCTTACGGATGCCCCAGGCACCGGTTCCTTGGGCATCGAAGCGCTGAGCCGTGGAGCTGCGGAGTGCATCTACGCCGGGGAGCCCAGTCGGAAGGTCTGGTTTCCTAGTGGCGCCCTTGTTACTAGTAGTAAGGCCAGGAGCTACGTTCGCAGCGTCCTTGTTCCGTTCGTAGCGATGCCCTTTGCTCCTAGTAGCGATTTGGAACGGATTTGGATTTGACGGACTTTAACCTGTCCATCTAAAAGCCTTTTGGACCTGTGAGGTGACTCAGTGGGAAAAGTTCCGCGCAAGCGCGTGACCGAACTCTAAGAATCGGCTCAAATAGTTGAGGCTTGGTGATCTGGTTTTGCTTTGAATCACGTAGAACCTGTCGGGATTTGGTCTGGAACGGTCCAGTATCACCGACTGACCGGTGGCTGTGGGGCTTCTGGCTTTCCCAGTATGAGCAACTCAGCGTCAGGTGGACACTTCGAAAGAATGTAAGAGCCTCAGGCCCTCGCAGGCTTGAAGTGCGAGAACCGGGCCTTATGTAAACCCAGGCGAGAGTTAAATTGGCATTTTCTTTGATTGGAACCAAGGTGTTTCTGTTTCGGTGGCGCGGCATGATCATCTTCGCGTGGGCACCGCTGATTTCACACCTGGCACCCTCTGAGGTGTGGATTGCTGCATTGCCAACTCATGGTTGGCAGGCTTCATGGAGCATGAAGAAGCTGCCAAGGGCACCATCAACGACCGTATCCAGGCGAAACGAAGTCCCGCCGGTCCCGAGTCCGGTCTAGTCCGGTCGGGACGACGACTTGACGCGATTCGCGTGGTGCGTCCGGTTTGACATGGCAAGTGACTGGGCACAGCTGTGCCAGAGTGAGACAAGGTGACTGGACATGTTGGAGGAATGCTGGAAGATGCTGGCTGGAAAATCTTGGAAACGCAGACCAGTCGGAGTTCGACCAGTTCGACAGGTCCTGTGGCACGTCCGAAGCTGGACACCAGCCGTCTTCGAATCCGAAGCTTCAGTAATTGCTCTCGTCAACAGCTTCTCTCCCCCTGTGTTCTGCAGGTTTCGGAGGGTCCCAAGACTTCGGGGGTTCCTGGCTGCCAGGCCGAAGTGGCACCCTTGATGATGGTTGGAGGCTGGGCGCTCTGGGCGGGGCGTGCATGGGGCGTTCAGCATCCAACAGCGCCAGGTCCTCGGGCGCAGGTGCAGATCGAGCTGCATCGAGCGCAGGTGTCGCGGCAGCCGGTGGGTGCGGTGCAGGCGGGGTGAAAGGGGTGAACATGGGTGACAACTGCAATGATGGTACCATGTGGACCCAACTGAAGAGCCCGGCTTTTTGCGGATTGGGGTGGCTGCCTGGTTGCTGCTTTTGGCTCTTTGAGGCGCAAGGTTGCCGCACAGTTGACATGGCTCAGGTGATTGACTTTGATGCCTTTGCACAGCCATATTTGGCAGTTGGTTATATATATATATAAACGTATTTAACTTTGCCATTGCAAGCTGCCCTGCAACAGCACAGGCAGACGTCTTGGATTTCCTTGAGGTGGGCATATTGCGGGTCGTGCTTGAAAGAGGTGAGCCATTTTTGATGGAATCCCTTGGCATGGGGCGAACGCGAACAAACCTGCAGAGGTACACGCACACGGACAAGTCAACAAAACACAGAGAAGCGGACTAGTAGCAACACTGGAAAGACGCCATGGACACTGCAGTGATGACAGTATTCACAGACCCTCTTTGGATGACCTTTCTGTTGAAATGGCAGCTTGAAGTCTGTGTGCTTGGAAAAGGCTTGTCCTGATCCAGTAAGCTGGGTCCAGTCTGCGGGATTTGTGTGAGGATCCCGAGAAATTTGGCCTGGTCAACCGGAGCTTCAACCTGGTGGTGCGCACAGAGTGCGTAGGAGGGTCCGATGGCACTCATCATTGCACGCTTTGGTGGAGGGCTTGTTTCATTTCAATGGAGCCTCCATCTAAGCTTGCGCTTATGGTCCGACTTCACTCATTGGAGGAATGCTAGAATCATTATTGCCCTGATGGGAATCCTTCTTTAGGTCAGCTTGAGGCTTTTGGATCGTGTTCAAACACCGATATTTTGGGTTGAACCAAGCTTGGTAGAGGGCGAGGTGTTCTTGATGCGGAAGGTTGAATAGCCTGTAATGAGAGGGAGACATGGGAGACAAGATGCAGTCTTATGGAACTGTCTGGCTTCCATTTACTGGCTTCATTTTTGCAAAGTGGTGAGCAACTTCAGTGGGTTGCCAAGCTCCAATTTGTTGGGCTCAACATGGAATCGTCAGCCAAACTCATTCGATTCAAGTGAGACATGAGAAACACTGAGCATAATAGAATCATGTGCGTTTGATGCCAGATGGCCTCGCCAAACTTCAACGAGATCTCCTACCGGCAGCTTTGCACTGCAGCTTGCCTTGAAGTGCAGTTCGTCACAGTGGCTCCGTTAGAAGGAAACTGTTTTTCTTGGTGCCACTTGAAGGCCACTGTGACACTCGTTTATTTCTGGGTCATTGAGTCATTGCGGTCATTCAGAGCTTAGATGACAGTGATCTTCACCGAGGCGCTTGCCAAGTCTGATTTGATCGAGCGAGATGGCTTGGTTGCGATCGAGTACCCTCGTGAAATAGGCAGGATCTTGGAAGATCTGGCGTTGCCTGACAAGTCAACATCAGATTAGTCTTCCTAGATGTAGTGCATTTGAAATATTTTGGAGGTGTTCAGAGGGATCAGAAAGGCAATTTGTGAGCTGCTGTTGATATGTTCATGTACATTTTATTTCTTGATGCTAGGTCAAAGATCTTAGTGCTCCGAGACTGAGCTCCGAAGCTATCTTTTCTTTCTCGTTTATCCGAAGTTGCTGTTAGAAGGATTTACAAACTTGGTCTTTGCTCTCGGTTCAAAGATGATGGTGTGGAATGGTGATGCTTTCTAGACCACTGCTGCCTCTGGACACGAGGCGTCTTGCCACCTGTGCTTTGTGCTCCCTTCGACGAAGAAGACGACTGGGATGACGTTGCGGCAGGGGTTCCAGTCCTTCATGGGCTCAGGACTGACTTTCCGGTCGGCACGCACGTGGTGTTCGTGCGGGCGGTTTTGTTACTTTCCTTCGTACTGCAACATTCTTTTGGCTGTAATTACTTGCGGTCCCATGATTTGTACTCGTGGAGCAGCTGAGCTGGGCTGAAGTAATCCACTCTTGGAGTTTTGAGATGTATATGTATGCCGATAGGCTATGCTGAAGTGCCCAGCGTCGGCGAACGAAGTGAGTATTAGGGGTTTGGGGGGGGTGGTCGGGTGGAGGGCCCTGTCAGGTAGCCACAGCCTGCTGGGGGAGAGCGACCTTGGTGATGCGAGTGATGCCAGTTCAATAGTGCATCTTTTGACCGACCAAATGGCCATGCTGTGTGTATGGTTCACCCGTTCTGCCCGTTGAAGAAGTTTCACAACAAGAGGCTTTTTAAATGAAAGTGTGAGTTTGCTTTAGAACTCTGATTTTGCGATTGCTTGCCCACAGCTTGGCCCATTTGTTGAAGGTGGCTGAGCCCCACAGCAAACAGTCCTTTGCGCCAGAGCGTGGGAAGCTTCGGCAAGTTCAGAAGACGCCTGTTGCCATGACGCCAAAGGAGTGCAAGAATGTTCTCCATGTCCGTGACAAGCGCGAAGTGCCAGCCAGAGTGCCCGTGAGGAGCAGGCCAAATGGGCCAAACAGAACCGGAGCTGGTGTGCGCCAGCAATTCAGAGATTGGGACAAGGATCTGCTGGATTGGAACAAGGGGTGCTGTCCCAATTGTGAACGTGGCAGGCTACATACAAAAATATTCCAAGGCATGGTGAAGTACCGCTCGAACAAAAGGCTTGCTAGCGCTACATCAACCCCCACCGGACCGCCTAGTTTCCACATGCAGTGCGAATGAAGCCCTTCAACACCCGGTGTGTGAAACACATTTTGCCTTATGGTTGGAAACTCCAGGTCGATGCTGGCACTCAGCGAGCTGACGCGCATGGAGATCCACCAAAGATCATGCACGCAGAACCAACGAGCTCGTCAAGTTCTTGCGGGCAAGAACCCAATATGAGTATATGTATATATTGGGTGCGGGGTTGAGACCTTTGGCTTGGCGCAGCAGAACTGGTGCTATCTGATGGCAACATTTATGTTGGATTGACCTTTGCCTCCCTCAAACAAGCAAACTCGCTGGTGTTTCTTTCGACTTGCTCAAACTTCATTTGCAGCAATCTCTTGCTCCTCTCATGTGTTTTTTCTTCTGCACAAATCCTCATTCCATCGTTCATCTACCTTCTCATCTGAGCACTGTCTTACTCCACCAAAGGTTTGTGTGCTGGAAAGGTACCGTTTGTGGTGGGAACACACATAATCACACATATATGTGCACATACAACATACGTAATATGTATGATGTGACCCAGTCGCAGTCAAACATTCAAACTGAATTTTCGATTTTTCGCACTTGGCCTAAGGGAGTCAACATGACCTGGGCACTTTGCGGTTTGACCTTACTTTGCTATACTTTGCTATCGTCTCAACTCAATTACTTCATCGGACAGGACTCGTGCTCACTTACGTTTCTAAACCAAACTGGCTTTTGTTTCGCTTGCAGGAACCGTGAGTATGGCAGTGGCATGTAAGGGGCTTGGCATGACTTGGCAGCGCAGTTCTGTGTGCATTCATTTACGCTCTCGTATCAACGTGTAGAGGCAGGGCTACGTCCATGTACCATCTCAATGTTGCAGGGTTTTGCTTTCTCTCAATTGTGGTTCTGTCAGATGGCCTCGGGAGACTTTGCTAAGGTTGGCTATTTATTGCAAGCTGCCCACTGGGGCTTTGCACTCAGCTGCATTCCGACAAACACTTTCATGTCAACCCCGCGACAGTTGCGAAGTGGAACCAATAGGAGAGATATCACAATTGCTGAGCAGGAAGACCTTACACAGCTGGTCGAAACTTCACGAAAGTAATGAACTGCGCCAAGTGGCCACACTTGCAACAACTGCACACTCCATACATGGGGACACAAACCAGTTCTTTGCATAAACTAAGGCTATAGTCAAGCCAGATAATAGACTATTCCGGAAGACAGGTTTGCTTTAAGTCCCACCCCCACACACATTTTTCTTCGGCAAAACCTGTGGTTCTCTCTTTTTCCTCCACGCCTTGGAACATCCATGGAAGAACGAAGACCAAAGCATCAAGGAAATCAGTGGCTTTTCATGCGCCAAAGCAGAGGACGTCGCCGGTTGATCCTCGACCCTCCATGATCCATCCATCGACCGCTCGCGGAGCGCGCCACGATCCAAGGCACGGGGCCGTGCCGGCGAGCCACGACCCTGGGAGTTCACGGAGACGCTGATGCAACCGAAGCTTCGGCAGAGGACGGTTTTGGGCAACTGCATGGATCAAAAGCAGTCAAACAGGGAAGAACTTGACCGTGGAGATTTCTAGAGACTTTGCGCATGCCGCATAGATTTTTCTTGTTATTGAGATACCTTTGGTTCCGATGGATGGATGTTGATCGAATTTGCAGATCCAGGAGATTGTTAGCCTGATTTCTGGAGTGTTTCTTTGTTTTTTGAAGGAACACTCATATAGCCAAAGACAACACGCACGGCTTGAACATCCTTCAGGGTCCAATTCAACGTCTTTGTAGAGCCATTGATGTGCACAGGAGGTGCTTTCTGGCTGGTGCAAACGTTTGAGTCACATCATAGACCTAGACTCTGAAAGAGTCCTTAAAGAACCATTAGAAGGCACGAGGGAAGGACCATTCACACACGCGTGCTTGTGCAAGGGGAAGGCCAAAGCGATTGTCAATGTACACATTGGCTCTGAAGAAAAGTCCACTTCAAACTTATTGACGTTTCAGTAGACGGGTGCATTCCTGCCACAGGAGCCGCGACCTTTGGCGAACGCCCAGCATCTTCTCTGAGAGGGAGCGTGGCTTTGCAGTTCCCAAGCAGGCCGGCGGAATCGGTATGCGTCTGCGGGCTTGAGGCGATCAGTTCAGTACGCATTTCCCTAAGTGTGTGATCCGTCGCGAGTTTCTTCTTTAAGGGAAGATGAGAAAGGTGTCCAGCAAATTTATGTTGGAGTTGTGGAGAATAGATACCCTCGACATTTTGTTTGGTTTGGTTGGAGATAGTATTGAAAGCAGTCCCAAAAGCTCTGCCTTGAAGAAAGGCAGACACTTGCTCAACTAGGTGCGTACACTACCTATTATTCTTTTTAGATTCTTTAGACTCAATCTTGGGAATTGCCAACTTTTTGCCATGTGCTTGTGGTTGGTGTGACGGCCATTCGATTGATGATCAGAACCCAGAAGCCATGCAGGCGCCTGCTCTGAATGAGTGATACACTGGGTGTAGGGCCGGTGATGTGCTGGAGAGCTAGAAGCCAATGCACAACTAAGACACTGCCAGGGAGGTCAGCGAGCATTTCTGTTGGTGGTAGTCTAGGTCCAAGTGTGAGTAGATGTTGACTGGAATTCCCAAGTTCTTTCCCGACATGCACTGGAGCTTTTCATTCCAATTTTTGCAGCCCACGATTTACATTCTCACAGATCGTGCACATATCAACATCAACGGTTGTATATGCAACATGACTTTTTCAACACAGCCGCAGATGCAAGGTTTCACTTGGTAGTTTTGGTGCGATGGCATGGTGATGCGGACATAAAAAGTGCGAGATGAGTTTGTGCACTGATTTCTGCGAAGGAGTTCTAGAGGGTTTACTTGCATGGGTCAAGTTGAGCACAATACGTGCGTGCCATTGTGGATAGCTTGCTGGTGTTTGCAAGAACTTCTAAAGAAATGCAATTCACTGGACTTGCAGCAACAAACCCCGCTGATTCGATGACATCAGGGCGATCGAGCTCTATCTCCGTGGTGGTATGGCCGCGAAGGTTGGTCATGTTCAGACAGACTTCATGTGTGGATGACATGTTGACCGCTATGAGTTGGTATCGACTAAGTTTGTATTGTATGTTCGTAATTACTCCATGGTAGTTTCCAGCAACGATTTTTGCTTTTGCCCATTGATCGTCATCTTGGAAGCCCGGAAGATAGACGAGCCAAGACTGACCACACGCCGTCTATTTTGGTCCTGTTGTCCAGTTATATGGTTCCGTTCTCAGAGGTTGGGCAAAAAAGGACTATGCAGTTGAACGCTTTCAAAAGTGGGATTGCCCGCGGTCAATGGACATGCAGACTGGCACTTTAGTAACAAAGCTGAGTATGGGGACTACATCGGTCCACGCCTCAAACAGGTGTCCCGTCTCTGTGCGGAACGGAAAACGGAAGACGCTCTTCCCAGCTCCGTTCCCAGGCCGCTTCGGTGGTGCAACGCCACAATGCCAACTACTCCCAGGCCTCAGTGCGATGGCCTCCCCTCTAATAGAAATGGCCTCCAACCTGCTGTCCTTAGGTGAAGGTGAGATTTGTGAAGCGTTTGAAGTATGTTGTGGATGGGCCATAGAATGTTTCACCCTCGTTGGGGGAACCATTCTTTTAGAGAAGAGATGCAGGAACTCATCTTGAGTTCATGCAACCACAGTTGAGTGCCTTGTTTTCTTTCACCTCATAGCTTGCCTTGGGTTCTCGACACTTTCGAGTTCCTTTGTACCGCCAAACGGTGCTGTTTTGTCACGAGGGCTTCTGGGGCACATTGCGCTGGCAAAAAGCAAGACTGGACCCGCATTATTCATCCACTTTGGAAGAAGACATCAATGCTGCAGGAACTTCTGCAGAAGATCGTGGCAGGGCTACAGGAGCCTTGGACTTGTGGATTGGTTGTGAGGGATTGAACCACTTAGAGGCTCCACATGATGATCATTACTGCGGCTTTGCCTGTTCTAGAAACATCCCAAAGTCTTGAACGAGACATTCTTTCTATTCCGGAGATGGTTCACCTTCCATATCCGCACACCGGCCCGCCCCTGAAAAGGCCGCTTCGCCTGCTCGCAGGCCAGCGGCATGCACGACCGTGCGGGCGCCTTGTATGAGCGTATGGGGCTCATCCAGCCAGCTATGGATGCCTATTGCAGGGGCCATGCCTATCGCCAGGCGTGCGAAGTCAACGACTCAAAGGTGAACGGTGTGGAAAAGAATGTAGACACGTTGAAGGTTGTCCAGCGAAGTATACAGTATATTTGGAAGAAAAAGAGTTTGTGTGCTCAGACGTGAAAAGATGGCCTGCCGGGCAGGCGATCGAGCTGGCCAAGCATTCGCAGCCGGGCTTGGTGGTGGGTCTCCCTGGAGCTCTTGATTGACAAAAGATTTGGGTGTAATGGTGCGTGTCAAATAGGGAGATTGAAACCTTTTGATTTCAACCAATCGGTGGGAGCAAGTATATATATATATATCTATAGTAATATATAGACTGGATTGAGCTTGGAGTCCAAGCAGCAGATGAGGTCCTGAGTCATTTAAGCAGTAGGAATAAGTCGGTTTCATTGAACCCGAGGGTTTTGCCATTGCCCAAGGTTGCCTTGGAAGAGCAGTGGGGCGACTGGCTGGTGTCACAGCGACAGGTGGGGGTGAACGCTCGAACCGCGTCCCAAAACCGGTCTCTTGATCAGCAGAGAGACCGCTTTGAACATTCGTTCTTAGTTGAACACCGTTGATGACCATTCTGGACCATTCTGTTCAACGCCTGAAAATCACACGCTTTTGGTTAAAACATCGAGCAAAGGTGGTAGGACGCCCTCCACAGGTTGATGCTGCTATCAACCACTACATTGAGGCTTGGGTTGTTCCAGAGGAGCGAATGCGTGAAAGATTCGGGGGTCAAACCAAACTTCGGAAACAAAACTAGATTCGTACAGCTTGGGAAACACGAATAGTACGAAGAGTTGTCGCCAAAACCAGCCGGCAGGCTGGGGGTCATGGTTGAAAGGGAACCGTTTGGTGGAATTAGAGGGTGTCAAGTGTTGTGATGCTTGTGATGCAGTTTCTTGGAGATTGCATAATTGAGGAAGAGATGGATGTATTAATAGATTGAAGATGGTTTGATGGATTTCGCACGACAAGTGTGTTCTAGAACCTTCTCAGGTTTGTTCACACGCACAAGCGCACAAGTCAATGATTGGAGCACCTTCGCAGGCTGGTTCTGCCATCAAGGCCATTGATGCGGCAATGAATCTTGGAAGACCATTCCGGGACCCGGATCCAGCCGTACCGCTTTCCGGACAATTTCCTTGCCTTTGAGAATGTCCAGATCCATTTGCGAAATGCACCGCCAGTTTGCCAGTTGGGCTTGCCAGGGCTTGTAAATACTTTGGGGGTTTGTGGACGTTGCCTTCAAGCTTGGAACAATGTCCAGGCAATTGAAGATGGACTTCAACCCCACCTGCCACCAAGGACTGCGAGGCAGTGGCACAAGGCAGAGATGCTACTGGATCAGGCGGGGGGGGAGAAAGTTGTGGCCTTTCATGAAGACATCCTGCAGTTAAAGACAAAACCACAGAAATGGGAGGGGGCTCTGTTCAGTCCAAATTCTGTGCCCCTAGGGTGGTGGCAATGGCATTGGAAGGGTTTCGATACCAAAAGCTCATGTTTCATCAAGGCGTAGGAATATTGAATTTGGTATTCTTATTGGATCTTAGAATCGCTAGTAGTAACAAGTGCCACGCTACTAGTAACAGGTGCATCGCTAGTAGTAACAAGAAGCTGTAGAATTTAATAGTCAAAAGATGGACACACAGCACATCTAATGTTGCAATCCCTGGGCAATCACGAGGTGTCGATGGGAGCGGACCAGACATTTGCGCTGCCCTTCTACGAGAAGCTGGCGACGCACTACGGGCAATCCCGGCAGCCAGTGACACCCAGTCCCACGAATAGTGGATTGACAAGTCAACCGTCTTCCAACGAATATCGATGAGCATAGCCCGTATGGCTACTTATCGTGGTCATGGGTTTCTTTGACCGCTGATGGCATAATGGCAGTTGTGGCTGTGAGCTTGATTCTTGCACAGCCAGTTCACTGCCTACCTCCTGGGTCCTAGTTGGCTTTTTTCTGACATCAGCTCGAGGTTTGACCAGGCTGAACGCGCCTTCATCAAATCTGGACGACCACAGCGGGCGGTGCTGGGCTCTTTCGCGCGGCCATGAAAGCAGCATTGGGTAGAAGAACTGACAGGTCGGGCCTGTCATGAATATGAGTATATAAACGGGGCAATGGTCGCCGCCCAGAAAAACACAAAACGGTCAATTTGCCAAGCCTGAAGCAGACAAACGAGTCCTGTGGGTGTCAAAAAGGGACCACAGCTTCGTGTGGCACGTCCTATTCGTTGCAGTCCAATTCGCTTGGTCGTCCCACCGAGCTCAGGTGCAGATGTATGTCGATCATGCGCAGTGACCCGCAGAGCGGATGGAACGCTGGTGCTGATGGCATCGATTGGGGACTTTGACACGCACACCGACACAGTTGTTGTCCTCCTCTACCCTCTTTAGCTTGATGCTTGTGTTGTAGGAGGCTTCAGACATTTCAAAGCAAAAAGGGCTAGGACAACGATGCTTTATGGTTCGCCAGCTCTCCGTGTCGAGGTACGAGAAGGCGCACCGGGTAGCAAAGGCACATCTGTCCCCAGCGGAGAAAACCGAGCTCTACATTCAGCTGGCTCAGGCACCTAGAACTGGGCACCATGCTTTTCTGCTCAAAAGTGTGAAGAGTGCAGGTTTGGGGGAAGAGTCGAGATGTTGACCCCCCCGCCAAGGTCAAACCTTGTCTTTGGGCTTTGCGTAGAAAGCAATTTGCAAGCAGGGCAGGGCTGTAGGGTTCCCAATGCATATTGATTGCACAGTTGGAGATCCAGCCGCAGGTACTGGAGCAGCAAGGCAAGCTAAATGAGGCATTGGGCGGATGAAGATTGGTGTGCAGAGCTGATCGACCTTGACAGTATAGAGAAGTAACATGTTTTTTCTTGCCCTGCAGCTGCTGGGCAGCAGAACCCTCTACCCATCCCACCCTCATTCGCTGCTGGGTGAGCATATGGTTCATCCAGACGTGCCATCTGAACTGAATCCATTTTTGTTCAGTGATTGTGAGATGCTCCAGAAGGGAACCGCAGCACGTTGCAGCTTGCAGGGAACGGCGGTTCCCGAGCCAGCGGGATTTCACGAGCGCAGGCTGAGCAGATGTATCTGGCAGTGAATGAGTTCGATTTGGCCATCAACATGTGACTCCACAGAACTGGTGGGGTCGGGTTTTGGAGATGAGAGTGGGGGCTTCCGCTGATCCGAGAACGACACGTCATTGGCACCTGGTTGGAGTACATCCTGCAACGCACGGAGTCCACACGCGTGTCCTGGGAGGCACCAAGTTCAACTAGCCAAAAGTATGAACTTCTCATAGAACAAACGGCTAAACGTCAGCACCGAATGAGAAAAGCAACCAAGAAAAAGCATGAAACCGATATGATAAAAAAATGGTTCACAAAGTAAGGTAAGGCTCCTTTTTGGAATCCATTTTTCTCCAACAACTTTCTCATACCTTGTGACTGGAGATGTCCTCGACGGGTCCAGAGATTCGGTCCGATGGTCCTCGCTGATGGAGGCTGTTCTCTGTTCACCACAGACCTAAGACAGTTGCTTTTTTTTGGAGAGCAGAAGTGTGGACCCTCAGCAATCATTGCAATCATGTCTAGTGATTCCTCATGGGTCAGGTACAAGAAGCGAGAAGAGTATGAGCAGATGTTGCGCTTGGTGTCCAAGTATCGCAAGGACCACATGAGTCGTAAGGGTCTTTGTCAGCAAACGCAAGGCACCCGGTAGCTTAGCACAGTAAAAGGGGGAGAGTACACACTGAGATTGGGACGAAACCACAACCAATCAGAGATGTGGAGGTTTTCCTTTCATGGAGATATTGTTTCTTCTTTTTGTGAATTCAGCGATGTCTTTTTTTATAGGTTGAAGACGAGGCTTGTTTTTCACAACTTCAAGAGCAATCATTTGTCAATCACCTTGATGCAGGAGCTCTTGAACGATACTTACAAACACATTGCAGAGCAGTACGAAATGAAAGGAAATCTAAAGAAGGCAGAGCACTACTACGTCGAGGCGCATGGGCTTTGCAGCTTTTTTCGAGGGTTCACTTTCCTACACCTTTCAGGGATCATGGCGGTCCCCTGTTTGAAGATGGACCAATGTAGCGAATTGTAGTGAGCTTTTCAGTACTATTGGACGAAAGTACTCTTCTACGGGCGATCTGCTGGGCGGTGTTGGCCTTTTTCGACCCACCTCATCGAAGAAGGCACCTAGGTCTCGGCTCCGACTGAAAAAGCTGTGCTTCAATAGGGAAGGCCGCCTACTACCTGTTTGGAGCCGACCAAGTGGCGGGGCCAGGCCTTTTATGTCGATAGCTCTGGTCTTGCGTCGTGCCTCTCCTTGCTTGTGCCCCCATGCCTCCGACTCTGGCGTGTCACCTTCTGCGGTCGCTTGGAAGGACAGGTAGAGAATCTGGAATCTGGATCATACATTTTCAGCATTGGACTGTTGCTTGGCTCTGCAACCAGTTCTTACAGTGCGGACCCCCACGTACAAGGATGGCATAAGATTTCTTCAAGAACCAAAGCGATCGTACCTTCAAGCTCGTCTACCATAGTCTACCCTGCCAGAAGTAAAGCAGTCAGCACTTCAATGTTTCATTTCTCACGGGCTTCGTGGCCAGGCCAAGATGTGGACAAGTGCCATGTCGATGTATCGACAGCTGGAACAATGGGAAGATGCGAAACGTGTGGCCAAGGTGGGCACTGGCCCATATTATTTCTTCACTCCACGGCCATGTTGTTTCCAAGAATGACCTCTCATAGCACCACTCGCGGGTTCCCCCCGTTTAAAACGGTTTCTGCATAAACCGCGCTGTCACCCGCGCGGGTTTTCTGTGCTTTGCTCTCTGCAGATGCATGGGGGAAAGCAAGCTTTGGAGAAGGTGGTCCTCGCCCAAGCCCATGTGGGCCCGGCCTTGATTTGGACTATGCATTTTGGTTACCAGCAGGTCAGCAGGCACACTCGCTGGATTTTTTGAGAGAAGAATACAGACTAGTAGGTTCTTGTTGAAGAGTTCCTGAATATCTGATCTCTACATGAGCACACACACTTTTGATGTGATTGCGACACCGGAGTGGGCACTTAATGCGTTGATTCTCTTGACTGCAGCAGGGGTGATTTTGCCTGTCGTGATCCGGAACGGAGCTTATTTGATTGAACTCTTGCCAGGCAACCTTCAAGGAGCATGGTGCGGAGGCGGGATATGAAGAAACGCTTCGCTGTACAGTAGCGCTTGTCAAGCAGAGAGTATATCCTCAGTATTGTGATCATGCAAGCATCTCACCAAGCGCAGGCAGGCGCACAACTTCTTGCAAAGCATGGCCTCATCGACATCGTGTGGAGACCAAGCGATGAGCGCAAACAGCAGGGCCTCATCGAGTGGTTCAGGGTGCCCACAGCGAAGGCGTGCGGACTGGTTCAGCCGTGCCGATAGGTTCAAATCAGCCAGGACCGGCAGTCTGAAAGGTTAACTCATGCAACTTGTACTGTGAGTTCGTAGGAGTTTGTAGTAGAACATACAAGCACCATGGTTGTACACAAAGTGAGTTCGGCAACAAGAGGCCAGCAAGTTGTTTGCACACTTTCCAGGTCAGTATATGGGTTGGTCATTCCCCTCACCCGCATAGTAAGAACCACCTTCAAAATTTCAAGATCACCAGCGTCTTGCTGTGGTCCACAGACTTCGCATTCCATGCCGCCTCTTCAGCAGAACCACTGGACCGGCCACTTGTTTCCAGTTCTGGAGCCTTGAAGCCTGCTTGTTCACTTGCTTGGAACAGACGGGCACTTTAATTTATCACACCCCTCCGGAGGCAGGGAATACGCTCTCGGAATCGTGATGAAGGCGTCTGCACATCCAAACGCTGCCAGCGAGCCACGCTCGGTCTTTTGAAGAACGTCTGAAGGCGGCTTCCGCATGGGCGGCTTGGCTGTGCCCCTGCGGCAGCCATCCGTCGTCGAAAGCCATGTCTCGATCAACCGTTGTCTAAAGCGAAGTGTGGCGGATGTGGATCTGCGGATCCGCAGTGGGGCGGCCCCACTTTGAACTCCAGAGACACGAGTTTGCATGATTTTAGATGATTTTAGTACAGCTGCTGGCACAGAAGGGCTTGAAGGAGGCGTTGTTCAGATGATACTCTCGGGAGGTTCGGAAGATTCAGGAAGAGGGACTAGGGACTGCACGCAAAGAGTCCCCGAAATGAGAAGAGCCAACTGGAAGATGTAGCATGCGCAACCACTGTGGTAGTAGGCTGTCAAAGTGCCAGCGGAAACCTGTGGCCTTCAATCGGTGGTGCCGTGATAGCATACAGTTTGCAGCAAGCTCGCAGCTTGCTCGAAGGCATTGATGTGACACAAATGCCCCAAAATGGACTGAAGCATTCATGTGTCTGATGTGCCATTTTGGAAGAACTGGCTGTAGGCTGTCCAGGCCTTGAGGAAATCTTCAATTCGCCGACAGCTTTTTGAGTTGGATTATGATGTATGATGATGTATGTAAATTCACCATTTGATTGTTGATATTTTCAAGTTTCACCATAAAAGGATGCACGAGCACCTGACCACAAACCGATGCCATTTTGATACAAGTAAAGAAGGTTTTGATCTGAACTGTACATTTCTGCAGCCCTGTCATCCTAATTTACTCTAAGGCCATTGACTATGCTGTGGAGCACAGCAACTTTGCGCACGCCTTCGAGCTCCCTGGTTGACGAGTTGATGGGCTTTGTGAGGGTTTGACTTGGTTTGGTTGGACTGGGTATGGTCCTCCAAGATCTTCGAAGCACGGAGTAGGGTTTGGCAAGCTTGCTTGAGGGATTAGGCAGGGAAGCGCCGGGCTGCATGAGTAATCTCACTCGTGCAATCAAGCACTGAGAGCTTCACCTGCCAGCCGGTCCTGACATCTAGGCTGGCCAATTTGTCGGCAAAACACAAGCTACCAGACATTCACTTGAAGAAGGCGACGCTGCCGATCTGGGCGAGCTTGCGAAATCGGGCAGCTTACAATGTGTTGAATGCATTTTATGATTTTGTTGTATAATATATATATATGTATATAGACGACAAGAATGAGCAGGGCAGGCTGTCTTGGGAATGAATTCGAGAATTCTACCACAGATGATTTCCTACATGTGGGGCAGCTCCGGCTACGATGCCTGAACCTTTGAGATCGGAGTTGATGATGCAAAGTGCATTGCCTCCAACACTCTGAGCTCTTAGCTGCTCTCAGCTGCTCCTTTTTGGTGTCTTGTGACGCTCCACCGCTGGAGGCCCTCGCGCTGGAGGATGACGAGCAGCCACCGCCTCACGTTCGGGACAGTTCAGGGCGTTGGTGAGACACACTTTTGCACAATTATATATAATATTAATCACTGCTTTGCCTAATTTCCTCTCAAGCCACCCTCACATCCACCAAATGAGAATGAGAACGGCCCATCATGGCAGGGCAATGGTGCGCTCCAACTTAGCGTTAGTAAATCATATGACTTGGCACCTAACGTCAATGTGATTGAGCTCATCTGAGGTTCAAACTGGCTGAGGAAGAGTTTATCCAAGCCAAGAAGCCCAAGGAGGCCATTGATATGCAGCTTGGCGTCATTCAGCTAAAAGCTGGATCCTTCTGGTCTTACCCGTACATACTCGGTAGGCAGATCAATGAGCCGAAGGACTCAGCCTTCTCCGGTTGTTTGGTGGTGAATCATTTCAGCGGTTTCTTTTTTTTGTCGCGTGTTAGTAATATACATGACTGCAACAGCCAATCAGGTATGTGCATCAGCGTGACTGGGTCTCTGCAATGCGGGTGGCCGAGGCTCCAGCAGTTTGGCAAAGGTGATAGAATGCGAAGCCAAAAAGATAAATGAACAGCACCCATGGTTTTACTGTTTTACCAGCTTGCGGAGCTTATACGTCATTTGTGGAAGATGTACTGTACTAGCAGAACTGAGAGTGTAAGTACTTGGACGCGAAGGTCTAGTGATGATACGACAGATGAACAGATGAACATCCCACAAAATGGCCACTGAAGTGTCAAATCCTAGAAGCTCTTAGTAACAAGGGCATCGCTACTAGTAATAAGGGCATTACTACTAGTAGCAAGAAGCTACGAACGTAGCTCCTGGGCATTAGTTGCCCTTCTTCTTTCGATTCTGATTGGAACTGGGAGATCTCCACGTCGCCTTTGCTCAGAGGCCTACGAGCCCCAGAGCGTGAATGACGTCATGGTGCATCACGCCAAAGATCTGGTGGATCAGAACAATATGCAGGTGCTTTATGATGCTTGATGTGGATCTGATCCACTGCATACTACTGTATGTGGATCGTGTACAAGGGGGCAGGTCAAAACCTGAAGCCCCAATACCATGTAGCTTGACCTCCCAAGTAGGTCAAGGTATCCTGACTGGTCTTGACCCACAGCCATATACAAGTGAATATCAGTGCAGGATTTGTTTTTGATTCAGGTTGCTCAACTATTTGGGTGTTGAATTTGTGTCTACTCACTCTACTCTGGAGGTTGATATTGTCCAGGCCTATCAACACCCATCAGGGCAGTGGAGGATCAAACCTGGGACGATTTCTTTTGCACATGCGAAAGACGGGGGGTGATTGGGTTTTCTTTTTGGTAAGTTGGCCGCCTCAAAGATCTCCCACCGCTGATGGAGTTAGTTGTTCAATGCGAAAGGATTTTGTGGAGGTTTCGATCAGAGAGCTTGAGCGTCTTGACGAGCCAATGTCATTAAATTCGTTTGCTTTACACACCAGAGGCTTTAGAAGAGTACAGGTGAGCTTTTGCATGCGGTAAAGGTTTGGCCAGTCTGTCTCCAATCCAAGCTTCTCAACCCAGAGGGTGTAAACCATGGGGCTGGGTAGCACATGTTTTTTTCATTTGGGGCTGACTTGTTAAGTGGACTATGCTATTCATGTGGGTATACCATGCAATAGCTCAAACAAGATTCCTCTCTAACCCAATCCTTTGTTGTGAGCCACGCCCATTCGTGCAATTCAACATGCCAGGCTGCAGAGAATCTCTTCATCCAGGTGCAGCCAACCACAATATATATATATATATATATCCGCTTGGTTTTTGGCATTTGGAAGTTTTCCTCGGTCACACATGAGGACAAGCTGCTGATTTTGAGTTCCATCTGTCAAAGCAAGTCACTGGATCCTGTTTTTGCAGTAAAAATCAGCGGACCCTCTTTGGACGCACCTCTTTTAATGAAGCGCCCAGCTTGCTGGCAGGCTGGAAAGCCAGAGCTGGCGGTCAAGGTGGGTGGGATTGTTGGATTGAAATTAGAGCTGTAGGCGATTAAAGCTCGATACTGGGCGCAATCAAAGGCCCTGAACTGGAAAAGGATCTCAACATGTAATCCCAACACTCCAGAAGCCCTGATCTCAAGCATCAAACTTTTGATCCCATCCCAATGAAGCCTAAACTTTCATACCAACGAATCCATGAACGGTTTTTTTGCTCCTCCCACTGAGGCCTATTCGGCGAAACGTAATGTCCCAGAGGCAGTGCGGGTGAGTCGCCTCAGGAACCGCCTCGAACGCGCGAGCGGGTGAGAACGGCCGAGAGTCCAGGACCAGGTCCCTGGTTCCCTTTCTTTCCTGAATCCTCAACGGAAGGCATGTCAAACTGCCTGAGGTCTGCAAGAAGCACTGCCCCCACATGCTGGGAGATGTGGTGGATTCATATGGCGAAGGTGGTGGAGCACCAGGCCATGTTTCTGGAGCAAGATGGATCCAGGGTGGCTGTTGAATCGTACTGCTGTAAATTTATGAATTACTGTAATGAAGAGGTACAAAAAACAGAGGATAACACCAACATGTACGGAGCTCAAAGATATGGAGGAGAGAGATGGAAAGAGTACATATGTGTGGGTCATTCACATGAGGTCAAACCATCATGCCATGTAATTCATGTATATACAGACACAGCGTTTTCAACATGCCCCCTCTGTGCTACTTTCTGCAGTGAGATTTTGTTTGGACAGGAGTAGCGCAAAGTTTGGATGAGATCCTGGATGCAGCGAAGATCTACGAGGAACAGGGAGACAGGAAGTGGTGGTTCAGCGCATCAGCTGATCGACAGGAAGAAAAGGAAAGCAACCTGTGGGTTGATGGTGGATACCGATCGGTGTGTTGCTTAGGCAGAATGCGTTTAGTCACTGGCGAAAGGCCGCCGGCCAACTGCTGGGCAGGATACTGGCAGCTACTCGCGTGCAATTGACACGTACTTATCAGCTGGAGTCTTGGAGAAGGTGAAACAAGAGCCAGGGTGTCTGAAATCTAAAACCCTCTCTCCATGGTGCGATCAAGAAGTTGATTTTGACCCTGTTCAAACAGTTCAAGTCATCGTGAAACCTGCCACCTTTAAAGAAATGGACAGAAACACCAAGTTTGGGACTGATACAAGAAAGAAACAAAGAGAAAACATGAGCCAAGAACGCAAAATAGATGGACCCCCCAAAAGCAGAGTTTTTTCCAAACTTGTTTATTCCGAACGGACAGATGGAACCCCGGCAGAGTCCCACGAAAAGACATCTCTCCGAACCCCCGCATGATCTCTCAGTCCGTTGAGGTCTCGGAGACGAGCAGTGCAGATGCCGATCGCCTCGAAGAGGTCTGGGAGAATGCGGTGAGGCTCTCCATGAAGCACGCTCAGGTGAGAGAGGGAGAGACGGGGGGAGATCGAGAGAAGTCAGAGATCAGAGAACTAGAGAAGTCTCCGAAGACATGTTTCTTTTACCTGATCTTACTTGCAGAAGCTGTTCCGTGTTGGGTTCCTGCGTCATCCTGATATCTTGCTGTCCCATGTCGGGCCATTCTTGGAGCTTGTGATGTTGACCTTGCATTATTTTTTGTCACAGAAAAACATCTCAGAGACAAGTCTCGAGTTTCCACACGTTTCGTATCGTTTTTCATTGATGTTTTATTTCATTTTTATTCCTTTTCTTGGCCAGGAGCGGTACAACGAGGTGGTGTCCATTGTGGCCAAACGCCTCAAGCTTATCCAGCGCTTCGAGGTCGGAACATGCAGCTTGGGGATTGATTCGGGATGTTCGGTAAAAGGAACATTCCATCTTCAAGGAAAATAAGTAGGCCAGCCTACCCAGGCAGGGCCACAACAGTCCCCAATCTTTTTGTATTTTAACACTTTAATGAATATATACTCATCCATTCCTCTCCCCTTTTCTTGTCACCCATGTCTGGCTGTGCTGGCCCAAAGTCACAAGCGGAGGCCGCGGCGGAGCTCTACGAGAGTGTGGACCACGCACGGGAGGCGGTGAACTGTTACATGGCCGGTGAGGCGGGAGAGAGCTTCACAGAGCTGAGCAGGTTTGGATGCATGTTCGTTTGGGTGTTGGTTTAGTCCTAAGCAAAGTGAACAATTAGAATTGTGAGTTTCTCCCTAGTATTTTTTGATATCTTACAAAACAACTAAATCCTGGAAAAAACCTAGGAGAAACCTAGACAGAAAAACCTGAAAAATATTCAGGAAAAACCTGTAGGAGATTCCATTCAAATCCTGTAGCCAGAAAAAACAAGACAATCACAGGAAGTAAAGGAGCTCAGTCTCAGCTCATTTGTCGCCTTCCTCGCTTGTCTCAAAGGAGTTAGCAGCTAACTCACTTTTGTAGTTCCTGGGATAGGGCTCTAGGCCCTAGGCCCTACGTTACTCTGAATAGCTGATGAGTTGGCAAGACCTGGAGGCAGACTTGTTGCAGAGATCCAAAGACAAGGTTTGCATGGCAGCCTTGGCGGATTCTATTCGGTGCGAATCTGATGAAGAAACAGAGTCAAGCGGTAAGTCCCAAAAGAGTTCCCCCTACTTCGAAGGGTCAATGGTGCATGAAGGCAGGCGCGGTGACTACCAAATGCCTGTGTCAGCTCCATGGTGGGCGAAAGTGTTGCCAGTTCACACAGCTCATTTGCTTCCTGTGACTGGTCTTCAGCAGTTCCCACCTTCAGCACCTATGCGTTTGGTTTCCGGTTGCACAGCCAGCTTTGCAGAAGCTGCAGTTTTGAAGGCCAATGACTCGTGACTGGAGAGGACTCGACATTTGGTTTCGGAGTTGTCGGCTTGGGTAGATTGGGTAGATTGACTGGAGACTGGGTTACGGTTAGGTCAGGTCATTTTGGGTTGGGATCCAGTTGGACTTGTCCAACGGTTGGACTCCTTGTCAATTGTCGAATGGAAGTTTAGACAAACAGTTAAGACATTATATAACCAACTATTGACGCTAGTAACTAGTGACTAGTGACTAGTGCCCAGCTAGCTGCTACTGCTACTGAGCTACTCCTGAATCCTGCCCCGGAATGCGTAGGCGCTTGGAATCAACTTCAAGTGCTTGTCCTGTTCTGAGCCTACGAGCAAATATCGCGACTTTGCCGTTGCCAATCATAGAGACCGAATCACGTGTTTTTATCACACCATGGCTGACCAAAGCCACAACAAGAATTGCTTGATGCATTCAGACGGGCCATGTCCATGTGTGCCAGATGGTGATGGAGACCAGGACATGTCCCCAGACTTGACAGTTTTCGGGACACCTTGCCCGCCTTTCAGCACACAGCGCCCTGAGAGAATGAAGCGCACACACACTGATGCAGTCAAAGCTCACTCGCAGTACTCAGTCACCTTCGAGGAAAGCTTGGCCTTGCTTGAAAGCAATGAACCTAAAGCCTGCATCATGGAGCAGGTGTATGGCTTTGGGCTGCCAGAGCATGAAGAAGACAACTCTACTCCCAAAGACAGGCTGGGAGTCCACATGGCACTAGACTTAGGCGCTATAGCCGCTATAGTCACTGGTCGCTAGTCACTAGTCACTAGTTTCACTAGTTGAATCAAGTCCGTCAAGCGCCAACCAGTCTACCAATTGCATATGACCACAAACATAGTTTCACGCTGCAGGTTCCTCAGCCTCGTGGCCAATCGCCCTTGGAAGCATGGAGGCTACCATGTGGTGACCATGCTGCTTGACAACAACCATTGGGTCAAGCAAAGCCGAAGAAGGCACGGAGCAGATATTGGATGTTTCACTACTGAAGGTTGGGTCGTGCTCGTTTGTAAAGCTCCGTTTTTTGATGTTTTTTGGACATCCAGGGATCATGCAGTGAGTGTAAGTAATGTAGTGGTGGGTGCATGGTTTTGCATTGAAGCGTTGTGTCCGCAGCTTTTGCTCACATTCGTGAGTGTGAGTATGTCAAATGGGGGATGGTAGGTAGGTAGATGGAAGAGGCACAAACGTCGGAGGATGAGCATGGTTGGGAAAGCTGGGAACCTGTGTTGCAGAAAGGCTCCGAACATGACCATGAGACTGCAAATCATGGCAAGTTTGGTGTAAGATCAGAAGCCGGCCGGCCAGTCGGCAGTGCTCTTCTGCTCAAGATTGCTAGAGAACGGCAGCAGCAATGCACGCCAGAAGAATTTTTGAAAGTCAAACGTCGTGGACATAGAGTAGAACAGCCACCGCGGCAACCTATTCATCCTCAGCCTCAGCCTTTGCAGTCTGCGAGCAGCAGCAGCAGAGAGGTCCAGGTTGCTCTTCCTTTGAAGATGGGTCCAAATCCCTTCCAACAGTGCATTGCAATCTCTGCTCATGATGCTCTTGCCCGAACAGAAGCAGCGGTAGAATTGGACCCAATGATTAAAGAAGCTTTGTATGAAGTAGGACGTCCAGTGCTCAGTTTCAAAGCGATGGCTTGGAAAGCCAGCAAGTCCACTAAAATGCTCAGCCTTCAGTTCAAGCGAATCGCAGACTGCGTGTTTGAGGGTGGTAGGTTTTTAGCAAATCAGCTGATTGATGCCGCCTTCCGATTTGTCGACAGGGGCTCCTTGAAGCCTGTAGCTTGGATTGAAAAACGACGATATGATGAAACACCATTGCCGGTGAAGCTTCGTGACAGATCACTTCAAAGCAGCGACAAGCAAGCCAAAGTACTGCAAACAGAAGCTGTCTATGGGATGGTCTTTGAAGATACGGTCACAGCAAAAAGGATGTTCATGAAGTTTCGATTGCCAACTCCTCTGCTTAGCCTTGATCGGACAACAGCGCAAAATATCAAACAAGCAGTTCTGAAAGCCTGTCATTGGCCAGAATCAGGCTGGTGCAAAGAGAACTTTCCGCTCAACTATAGCATTGTGGTCACCGACCAGTACGCAGCAAACTTCAGTGCTGAACGTTCTATGGACCAAGATTGGCCACGCTGTGGCAAGGTTCATTTACCTTGCGATGTACACAAGTTGTCACGCGCGCAAACAACCCAGCATAATCTGGTTGACACTGAGATTTCATGCATGGTTGCTGGCAGTGTCATTCTACATGAAGCAGGGGCAGCGCAGGCTTTTCGTGACTGTGTGTTCCAAGTCTTGGAATCTAACCTGGAGATTCGCTACGCAGCACCGCCAGAAGGCTTTGTGAAAGAGTACCGAGAAGCCTTGCATGAGCTCCTCCTGAAGATTCCTGAGTTCAGTCACCAGGATGAGCGAAGAAAAAGTTTCAAAGCTTTGCGAATTAGGCAGCGGAGAGTTATTGCGTACTTTCTCAATGGAGATTTGCAGTCACGAAGAATCATCCACTTCACAGAGAATGACAATGTGACCAAGGAGACACTTCTTCCAAAGATCCGAAAGTATTTGCTACCGGCTTTGCTTCCAGGTCCTGTTCCAACATTCCCTCGCCACAGATGGACCAATTCTGACTTGTCTGTTGACTATTTTGCAATTTTAGCAACTCACCACCAGTTGTTGGAGCGTGCCTCAGCCTTATGGTTGGGCCTAGACAATTTGGATGAAGCTCCTGAGTGTGATGATCAAGAAGGACCAATCACTTGGGAAGACTTGCTGAAGAAAAAGTTGCAAAGCTTGCCTAGTCATGTGCCTCCTTTGCCCACACCCGGTCCAGCAGTTGGTGAAGCATGCCTCGACGAGAATGGTCCAGACGGTGACAATGACCAAGGTGAACAAGATCAAGCGTTGGACAACCTCAATCCAAACCCACCTCAAGAACAAGATGATGGTGTGAGCTATGTGGAACGGGATTGGGCAAAGATACTCAAGTCCCTCAAGCAAAAGTTCATTGCTTGGATCAAATCCAGTGGCAGCCAACACACAGTTTCTTTGGCAGGGAGGTTGGTCATAATGCGGATTTCCATGGATCCTGTTTGCAGGCTCATGCACAAGTTTCTGCACCTTGCTGGACAAAGATGGGACAAAGAACAGGAGTTCAAAGCTGCATTGGGACAAACCCGCAGTTACAGAATTCTTGAAGCGCATAAGGGGCAGGATGTTGCCAACCTGTTTGAATACCTTGAGCGAGCTCACCATTCTGTCCCTACAGCTGTGCCCCTGAAAGATATGAAGCTGATCAGCAGAAATCTCTTGTTTGCTTTGCTGTCCCGAGTTGCTTGCAATCTACAAGTTTCGCTGCTTCCTTCTAGGAAGGCTTGTCCAGTGAGATTGTTTTCATGCCTTCTTGGGAACAATGAAGTGGAACAGTTCTACCAGTTGAGAAATTGCCTTCATGATTCTTTGACAGCGGCATTTGTCCATGCGTTCCCAAGTGTCGCAGAGGCATCATCTCCAACTGCGCAAGACATTTTGATTTCGTTGGCCCTCCTGATCGACATGGACATTTCACAAATCGAATCAAAGCATGCCTCGGCTCGCAGAATTGTCATGTCCCGGTCACTTCAAACACATGGTACGCAGCTAGATGATCTTTCAGCAGACTTCCTGCTGAGACAAAATGCTGTGGATTACACAAGAGTGTTCACAGGTGGTACTGGTAGAGGCGAAGGGGTGCAGACTTCAAAAAGAAAACGACTGCGCAAGGTTCGAAAAGTTCGCAAGGACGGACGTGAGAGAAAGGCTTCCAGACCAGGTGGTTTCAGAACGTGGCTGCATATGCACAAGAAGGGCATTTTGTGGAAGACGCCTGGCACTATGACAGAGCTTGCGCGAGAATTCCCGGCCCTGCCAAAGGAAGAGAAAGACGCCATCTCATCAATTGCAGAGGCTGCTGGAACCAGTGTTGACCATGGTTATGCGCCCTTTGGTGTGAAACCACGTGATGCTTCAGCTTTGGCAATCCCCTTGTCAAACACTGTTGAGCTGGCAGTGCAAGAAGCCAAACAACAAATCTCATCTTTGCAGGCAGTTACTCGGGAAGAGGAGGCAAGATTGAATACAGCCCTTGTGCGTTATCACGAGCGGCATGTGGACAACTTGCCGGAGGCATTTGTTCAAGTGCTTGGTCGAGATTTCCACCGCTGTGTGGCAGATTCCCTGGCTGTTTTTGATATGCACCTACCAGCTGATGCATTTTATTCGGAGGCCTGGCATGTCCTGCGACAGTCATTTGATATCTGAATCTATCTACCTTAAGAGTAAGCCTTGGCCTTATAGCCTTAGGTCTTAGGTCTTGAATGTTGATGAATCTAGCTAGCTAGCTATCTATCTATCTATCTACCGTATTGAATGCCGTATCTACCTGCCTACCTGGTACATAAATTAAATGTAATCATCAAACCTAATGACCCAATGATCCCAATCATATCTAAACATATCATATCTACAGAACCTGACTTGGCATTTCATTGGAAGACCCGTTGCCATAGGTTTTGGAGAAGCACTGTGCAGCCTCCACAACCACAAAGACAATTTCAACCCAGCTTCGCGACAGATGGACCGATCATCACACTTTACTCCTGCACAAAGATGCGCCTCCTCTTCAAGACGAGAAGGCCAAGAAGCAGCAGTCACAAAAACCATTCAAACCCGCCAAGTGCTGCGAGCTCGGAATTTGTGTTTGTGAAGATGGTCCATTCTTTGATGCTTTTCATTTGTGGGCTAATATGACACGCCTTATGAAACCCTTCATGCAACGCCGCCGGCGCAAAAAAGGGGAAGCAAAAGAGAAGAAGCCTCCGCCGCCTCCTGCTAGGGTTTTGGTTGAACATGCAGATTTGGTTTTGAAATTGGACTGCCTTGGCTTGCTCGATGCAAACAATGCCGATGATCCCGATGATGAGATACAAGTGGATGATTGGGAAGCATTGGGTCACACAAACCTAGCAAAGCAAGTGCTGGCATCCAACTACGCCTCAGTTGAGGAATTCGAGGAGAAAGCCAAGTCTTTGCTAGGGTCCCAGGGGGGTCAAGTGTCCACGTTCTGGTACCATCTTGGGTACATGAACTTCAAAACATGGCATTTTGGATTTCTTCCACTTGATGCTCTTCGGACATATGAAATTAATGGAGAGTGCGTTCAGGTACTTGGGGTGCCAACTTCGCCAAATGCACAACGATGCTTTGAAGCTTTTCAGCTCCTCGACCTGCATCGTCCCATTCTAATGTCGCTCCATCGCATTCGTTCTGAAAACAGAGATTTATCTCCAGAAGAAATGCGCCCAAACGAGATTGAGGTAGTTGCAGTTACTGATTCAACCTTCCCCCGTTTTCGGGTGTGGAAAGGATGTGAGGAAGAAAGACTTGCCAGGGAGGCAGCGAAAGGATCAAAACCAGGCGGGCGAAAGAGACAGGCGAGACGTCCTCCAATTCAAGGGAAACGCCAAAGAGGAGAAGCTGCTGCAGGTCCTCTCCCTGGCTCCAGTTCAATTCCACTGGGTGATCTGAACAACATGCAGGCAGAAGACCACGAAGACTTTGCTGGTGAGGGCTACGTCGACGTGGATGCTGGCAGTGATGTGTCTGGCAGCCCTCCAAATTCTGACCTTGACAGCAGTTGTACAGAAGAGGAAGAGCTGGACAAAGAGCTTGGAGAGTGGCTAGATTACCTGGATGCTGAAGAGGCGCCTGAGGAATTTCCAGACCAGCATGCAGAGACCCCAAAGGGCCAGGAACATGAGGGCAATGACGATGACCTGGATGGGCACAATGTCAGCGCAGACACAAAAGAGCAGGCAAACAGGAGTGAGGGAGGTGGAAACAGCGGCTCTGACTCATCCAGCAGCTCAAACGATTCTAGCAGTTCTAGCACATCCTCAAGCGATGGCGCGCTTGTGCCCCCACGTTCAAGAGTAGTTAGCGGCATTAGTGAGGAAATCATCAAGCTGGGCGAGTTTGGTGAAATTAGATACAACCACAATCTGGAGCAATTTCGTGCACATTGCAACAACCCTGCGCATGAAGCTTGTCGGAAAACAAGAACTTCCAGACCAGGACGCTCAGGGCAAGGACGCCCATTAGGATTCCTCATGGAGTGGCTGCGGTGTGCAGCAAACATTCCAGACCAAAAAAGCCATGTTGGAGTCAACAGCATCAGCCACTCAGACCGCATCGCTGCGAGACAATGCTTTGCTGACTTCGAGGGGAGTGATGCCTTCTGGCGAGCCAGAAGAGCCTAACCATGTGCCGTAAGTCCAGCCAGCCATGATGCAGAACAGCGGCTTGAACAGCGCACGCCGGTGTCAAAAAGTCTCTGGTCTTGCTGATTGTTTCTTCTCAACATGTCATATGCCTATGTGCAGCTCAAATGCTTTGGGCAGCCAGCAGGCATATTGGCATATTGGCATATTCAGAGTTCATCCTATTAAAACAATAAGCATAGTTAGGCATAGTTCATCCCAAGTTCAGAGTATCTGACCGGCAGGTACTATTTCCTTTTCCTGCGAAGAGATTTGTTCAGTGTGGCAGATGCAAACTATGGGAACGCAGTCGTGAAGGCAAGCAGTGGGAGGTTTGCTGTAGGCTAGCGGCTAGCGGCTAGCGGCGGACAGCAGCCGCTGTTATGTAGCTAGCGGGCGGCTAGCAGATAGGATAGTGGGCTAGGTATAGGTCTGATCAGATCACTTTGCAATATCAAACAATATTGAAATGTTTGTTAAAACTGACCATGATGATATATATATATATTATAAACATATTTGACATAGTTATTTAGTATGTGCCCTTTGCTTTTGAACACAGCACACCACAAACACACACACACACACAGAAACGAGTGCTTTCAAGAAGGTGTTCAGCTCCTTAGCTGTGTACACGGGTGCTGCTAGCTAGCTAGCAGCTAATCTGGCGGTGGTACTCCAGGTTTCCATAAATTAAGCCTTAAGCCTTAAGCCTTAAGCCTTGAGCAGCCCGACGCCTACACCGTGCAAATGCAGGCGATTCAAGACGGGCAAGCTGCCTTGGGTTCAAAGCCTTTGCGTGAAGTGCTTTTGAGTGACGATGAGCGTCAAGAGTGGCTGAAGAAGGCAGCTGCGCTGCTGCGTTGCGAAGCCCTTCAATATAGAAAGTGCAACGTACAAAGGATGTTGTCATTGTAGCTAGTGACTCTAGTGACTAGTGACTCTAGTGAGGCCCTAGGCCCTAGGACCTAGGGATCTAGGACCTAGGACCTGTCCTGCCCTAAAAACTACAGACCCTATAAACCGATAGTTTTTTTTACTTTTTTTCTGTTTTTTTTGGGTTTTCCTTTTTGCAAAATTTCTTCAAAATCAATAAAAACCTTCAAGAAAAAGCATGAACTGAAGGAATTTGACCAGGAAAATAGCCAACAACATTGAATTTTCAAAATTTTTCGAAAAAAAATAAATTTTAAGAAATGGCCTCAAACCTTTTGAAACCTCAAGGAAAGGCAGGAACTGAAGGAATTTGACCAGGAAAATAACTAAACTTTTAAAATTAACTAGCTACTTTTGGTTCACTTTTTCTCCTCTCCCCCTGTCTCTGTGTCTCTTCCCTTAACGGGGGGAGTGCGTTCGACTCTTCGGACCGCATCTCCGAGCGAAGAGTTGGACCTTTCGGCCGGCGCACGGGGATCGACTCTCCGGACGCACGGCTTCTCCGGACGCACGGCGGCTCGGGTGCCGAGAGATGTCTCTCGGCACCCTCGGCCCCATCTCTCGGCACCCGAACCGCCGTGCGTCCGGAGAGTCGAACGGACTCCCCCCGTTGGAGGTTGGACCTAATGGCCGGCGCTCCTGTGGGACCGGTGGGCTCGTGACATGAAAAAAATGAAGGAAAATGAAAGGAAAATGAAGGAAAATGAAGGAACATGAAAGGAAAATGAAAGGAAAATGAAAGGAAAATGAAGGAAAATGA